ACCTTGGATGTTAGCCGAGTGTCTTGCCAGAGTTCCTCTGGCTTCTGGCCCTGCTTCGGGGCACCTGCCTTCTCCCGTGTTGGGAGCCCCGTGGTGTTTGTGAGGACGAGTGGGTGGGGATCTGTGGTAGGGAATTTGTGGCAGCCGAGACACAGGGGTGAAAATACTATTTATGGAGGGTCCCTAGGAGATGCTGGAATCCCAGCTCCGTGGTGGCTCCCTTGTCAGCCAAGTGCAAGAGTTCCTGCCCCTCCCCCCTGATGTGCGCCCCCTGCCGCACATGTGCCCCTGTTTCAGCCCCTTTCTCTCTGGGTCTGTGTCTCCTCCCCCCGGAAATACGGGTTTAGACCTGGATGGTGGGGGCCCCTCTCCCCACCCTGTACCCAGACAGGAGCCGACCGGGTAGATGCCAGGTAGTGAGCTCTTCCTCTGTGCCCTGCGCACCCACCTCTACCTGGGCACTCATGATATCTGGCACCAATTTGTACGTAGGTGTCGATCTGTAACCTCGGCACTTGGGTAATTGCTCTGAGGGTCTGTGTGTGTCTTGTGCAAATATATTTTCCTAGCAACAAACTGTTTTGCTTTGGATTATAAATAGAGCCGTTGGGGGATCTGAAACCCCTTTGCATGACAGCCACATGGCCCCCGGGGGCCCAAGTTCCCGTCCCAGGGAAGGCCCCCCTGGTGCCCACCCGGGCCCACCGGGAGTCGAGGTGTGGACTCAGGTGGAGGGTGAGGCGGAGCGGGAGAGAATGGCCTTTGCCTCCGCAAAGTCACAGTGAGAGCTCATTGTCAGGAGAGAATAAAATATGACCTTCATTGTAAGATGTGAACATGAACATGTGTTAAAGATTTTATTTAACTCAGGAGAGAACCTGGCAGATGTCATTGGTTGAGAAGAGCTACTGAAGGACCTTGGCATTTACATGTCAGGAACGGTAAATGGAACAGATGACAGGAAAGCGCAGGCGGGGACACCTTTGGGGCACTTGCGGGGGGGCAGGGTGCAGGAAGGAAGAGAAGCACCTGTAGACTTGAACCTGAGGGGTCGGCTCCCACAGGGCTAGTCAGACATGGGGGGGACTTCCTGAGATACCCCAGGGCGGTCTCTCATCTAGACAATGCAATTTCCCTCGGCACCAGTTTGTCCCACAGTAACAAGAAGGTCCCTGGGGGCACCGGAGGTAAATGGCAGGTAATTGGTGGGTGGCCTGAGATTTCAGTAGCAGCTCAGACGGCAGCCTTGCAGGAAGTGGGTCCCATTGTGAAGAGGGGAGCGGCCTGGGACAGGAGGGCACCTTGGACAGCGGCCTGGAGCAGTGGAAGGCGGGTGTTGATCAGCTGTAGGAGGTGGCGGTGGGGCAGTGGAGGTGCCCGCGGCTGCCTTTTCTGGTTCCAGGCTGGAGGCCGGAGACCCAGTTTCCAGAGGCAGCCCCCCCAAGGACTTGCTGTGTGGCTTTGGGCGAGCCCCTTACCCTCTCTGGGCCTCAGTTCCCACTGTCCAGTGACAGTTGACGGCACTAGACGTCCCCTAGGAGTCTTCCTGGCTCCACTGTTTGGGATTCTGATCATTCACGGGAAGGAGAAATCTGAGTGTTTAAAAGGCGCGTGTACCAGAAAAACAGAACTCGCAGAGGGTACTTCCATACAGTTGTCCCTTGGTGACCATGGGGGGTCCCCTGACCCCCGCAGACCCCAGGCCACACGGATGCCCCGGTCCCTCAGATGAAATGGCGCAGATGCGCGCCCTGCCGTGTATTCGATCATCTGTAGGTCACTTGTGATTCCCGATACAACGTAAATGTTATGCGACTTAGCAGCAACGTAACCTTTGGAAGATACTCTGGGTCTGGGGTCGGTGGAGTGGGTTTGGAACGTGCGGGAACGGAAGGCAGAACGTGTAAACGCGCGTAGGGTTAGTTCACGCCCCTGCGGGGGCGGGGGGTCTGAGGTCTGCAGGGCAGGCGGCCGGCTGCCTGGGCAGGGGCTCAGCACTGTGGCCCGGAGGCAGATCACGTCCCCAGAAATCGCGGATTCTTTCCCCAAAAGCTTTTTCTCTTCAGGCCTTTGCCTGATGAGAGGAGGTCCACCCGTGTTCTGCGGGGCGTCTGCTTTACTGAAGTCCGCCGGCGGTAGGTGTTTGTCACACCCATGAACACCTTCACACGACACTTGGACTGTGTTTGACCGCCAGCCACACAGCCACACAAACGCCCATCACAGGGCGGGTGGGACAGTGCACTGCTCCCACGGGTGCCTCCCGGCCACCCAGCGCCACTCGGGGCTCCCGGGGCTGGTGGAGCCAGATCAACGGTGCGGGCCCATGGGAACTGAATGCCCGCCCCCCCCCGGGAGCCCCCAGGCCCCTCAGCAGCAGCGCCAGCCCCACCCACTGACCACATGCAGCAGGCGGTGGGCAGCGGCCACAGCGCTCTGGTCCATGGGGCACCCGAGTCAGTGGGTGGGCCTTGTTCTACTCGACTACAAGGCTGTGGGGGGGTGGAGGCGCTCAGGGCTCCCCCGCCCGGCAGATTCCCTCCCCCGACGAGCTGCTGTTGCCGAGACAAAGCATGATTGCGGGGGACACAGGCCCAAGGTGCAAACTTGAAAACGAGTAGTGGGGTCCGTGCCCTGTCTGGTCAAGTGGGGTCTGGAGGAGAAGCGAGGCCTCCTGGTTTCAGCGGCTCTGAGCGACTGGGGCCCCCGGGGACCTCAGGGGCCGCAGCTGTGCCCCCGGGGGCAGGGGCGAGGGCTGTTTTACTTGTTCACCCCTGCGGTCAGAGCCTCCTGTGAGGCTCTCAAGCAAAAATGCTCTAGACGTGTCCCCTGTGGCCCCATCCCATGAGGGGTGCGGTCCCCAGGAGGTGGCCCTGCACTTTCAGTCAGGGCCACCTGGCGCCTCCAGAGGATTGCGTCCCAGTTGTCTGCCTGGCTCGGAACAGGGTTAGCCTTCTGGGCCGGCCCAGCCCACAGAAGGGCCCCCAGGACCCTCGGAGGCCTGGGGTGGGCGGGAGCAGGGCGGGAGTGGGGACAGGAGGCCTCCTTTGCGTATCAGACTTCGGGGACACCTCCTGCCTGTTGGGGGGTGTCAGTGGAACGATGGTGGCAGTGAGGCCCCCACAGGACTTCCACCTGCCCTACCAGGGCAGCCCGGCCCTGGCCACCCGCAGTGGGCAGCCCAGCTGGTGAGATGGCCCACCGACAACGACAGAGTTCGAAGGTCCCCAGGCCTCCTGGCCGGCGCTCAACACTCCTTACAGACCAGCCACCTGTGCTGCGTCCAGAGCCGTGGGTGTAGGTGACTGCGTTTCCGTTCTCACTTTCCTGCAGGTCGGGAGGGGCTCCTGGCCGGGTGTGAGTACTGGTCTCAGGTCTGGGGGGTCACCCCCAGCACCCTCCCAGCTCCCTAGTGAGCTGCCCCGCAACTTGGGGAAGCTGGACGTGGGAGGAGGCGGCGGTGGGGTCCTGGTGTGGAGCCCGGGGGGTAGTGCAGGGCTCCCCTGCCTGGCAGTCGGTGCCCACATCCTTCCAGGGTGCAAACCCGATCCCGTGTGGGCGCCCGGCCCGGCCTGCTGGCTGGCTGCTCCCATCCACCTCCCTGCCCTCCAGGGTCAGGTGACCTCGGAAGAACACGGATGCAGGCCCGGGGGTGCTGTGGCATAGAAATGGGGGTGTGGGGGGCTGATGTGGAGGTGTGGTCTGCACAGCAGTAGGGAGGAGTCTCACAGCAGGGAGGGGGTGCTCGCCCAGAGCTGCAGGCAGGGAGGAGCCAGGGCACGTGTGTGCACATGCATGTCAGTGTGTGCATGCGCTTGTGAGAGTGGTGTGTAGAAGGGTGCGCACCTGACTCCTGGGACCTCGCCTGCCTGTCTCCCTGGGGCCTTTCTGGAGTCTGTACCCCTCCCCCCACCCCCTCTCTGTCCTGGGCTCCCCCCTCCTGTCCTGCCCAGGTCCTTCACAGCGCAGCCCTGGCAGCCTTCCAGGACTTGGCGGCAAGTCAGTGAGCGGGAAGGGAAGGGAAGGGAAGGGAAGGGCAGGGCAGGGCTCTGCTCCGCCTCGGCCCAGAGAGGGCAAGACTCCAGGCAAGGCCACACAGCCGTGGGTGACAGCAGGGTCCTGCTGAGGGCTGGGCGGTGAGGGTGGGGGCCAGCCGGAGGTTGGGAGGCTGGTTGAAAGCGACATGTGTCACTGTGGCTGTGGCTCTGAGATGGGGGGGGCTGTCGAAACCGGGCTCTGCTTGTGCCAGGGTCGGAGACTGGAAGGAGACGGAGAAAGAGGAGGTGTGCGGGGAGGGGGGGATTGTGGGACCTTCTGCCCAAGTCCCCACCTCCCCGGCCACTGTCGGGGCCATTTCTGTAGTGCCGCCCAGAACGTTCCAGCCCAGGGCTTCCGGTGGGTGTCTGTCCAAGAGTGGAGTTGTGATTTTTTTTCATTTTTATTTTATTATTTTTTGTAAGATTTATTTGTTTTTAGAAAGAGGGGAAGGGAAGGAGAAAGGGAGAAGAACATCAGTGTGTGGTTATTTCTCGCATGCCTCCCACTGGGGACCTGGCCCACAACCCGGGCCTGTGCCCTGACTGGGAATCGAACCTCGACCCTTTGGTTCTCGGGCCTCACTCAGCCCACCGAGCCACACCAGCCGGGGCGCAAACAGGTGTTTTAAAAAGTGTGTGCAGGTGTGGCGGCAGCGTCCCCAGTGAGGGTAACGCCTGGCTTTAGTTACGACGATCACTGTGCCGCCAGGAGCAGTTCTGAGTGATCTCTGCCGGCCTCGGCGACCCGCTCTGTAAAATGGGCACAGGAGGGGGTGTGCGGGGCTCTGAGGGAGGTGGTGAGGCAGGCGTGTTGGTGCCCGGAGGTCCGTGGGCCCTGCAAGTGCTGTTCCCGCCTCCACTGCCTCTGCCCTGCTCCCCGGAGATGCCGGGCTGCCCTGTGAGAGGGAGCCCCCCCAGGGGACTTGTGTGAAACGCCCCTGGGTTCATGTGCTTCCCCCTCAGGGCCTCGGAGGGACCCCGTGCCTGGGTTCCTGAGAGCTGGCCTCCAGACGGTGAGCCCCGGCCAGGTGCCCCCAGCAGAGCATGTCCCGGCCGGACCCAGAGGAGCTGGCCGAAATAGGTACGAGTATGTTCTCCCCCTGGTGTCTGTCCTGTCCGCTTCTCACAGGGCCCACTGTCCTCGACTTATTTTGTCTCCAAGGACACGGTCCTGACGAAGGTCACGTTGCAGGGTTCCGGGTGGACGAGAGTATTGGAGGGATGCTGGTGGACCCAGGTCACCGGGGGCGGGGGGGCTGCGGAGTCCGCCCTCCCCTGAACCTCGGAGTTCCCACTCTTTTTCCAGCTGAAACATTCCTGCCAGACCCTCGGTTTGTTTGGTGGGCAGGACCCCCACCTTCTAAAATGCAGCTTCTGGGGACGGCAGTTGTTCCTACCTGCCAGCTCAGGGACCCGGGCTCTGCCCTCACCCCTGCCCCGCCCCCACCGCGTCCTGCCAGTGCCAGCATCTTTCAGGAAAGGCCTGAGGCAGAATTTGGTTGTGGGAAGTCGAGTTCAAGTGCACACCCTGCTGCCTGTTAGCAGTGGGACCTTGGGGAAGCCATTCCCCTTCTCTGAGCCTCAGTTTCCACTCCTGTCAGTCCGGAGGACACTCTTCAGCCCTCGGGTCTCATATTTTTCTTCCACGGCACTGTGCATAGTAGGTGCACAGCGGAAGTGGGTGCATAGTGGGTACCCACTGAGTGGGTGCATGGTGTGTACACAGCAGAGGTGGGCACATCGCGGTGCACGGTAAAGGTGGGTGCCTGGTGGGTGCGCGGCCGAGGCACGGTGACCGTCCTGTAAGAAGACCCTCCCTCGTCCTCCCCGGAGAATCCAGCCGACTTCCTCTCATCCTCCTTGTCTGCCACAGAGCTGCGGAAAGATGAGGAGCCGGAGGCGGCTCTGCCGGGCGTGATTCGAAGGCCCTCAGCGGCACCCACGGCTGGCCAGGAGCCTGCACTGAGCACCAGCCACCCCTTCTACGACGTGGCCAGACACGGCATTCTGCAGGTGGCAGGTGAGTCGCAGCGGGGTGGCCCCCGGGAGCCCCAACAGTGCCGGCTGTGGGCCCCGAGGCGTGGGGCGGGCGCCTTGGGGACGCTTCCCTGCGGTGTGGCTGTGCCGCCTGAGCAAAAACCGAGTCAGGAACTAACGTGCCCGCCGGTGTTTTGAGAGAGAAATGACCTACCTGTCTGAGCACTGCCCAGGTGCTCTGGGAAGCCGCCAGGCAGCATTCCGCCGCTCTTTAAAGAGCAGAGGCCGGAATGGAGCAGGTGGCTTTGTTAACCAGAGACACCATCACGCCACATGTCAACAGACAGAAGCAACAAGCCCTGCCACACTGAGAGGACCAGCACCCCACACTTGGCAGGCAGCAAGCGGGTGGAGCAGCACAGTTTAATTAGGCCTGAGGGGCTGGGGCCACCAAGTGCAGGTAGTGGTCGGCTGTCCCGAGAAGCAGCCCTGGTGGGAGATGGAGAACTGCAGGTGGGAGATTTGTGGGGGGCCCGTGACCCTGGGTCTGCGAGCTGGAGCCCCAGGGGAGCCGATGGTCCCAGTGGGAGTCCAGGGCCTGAGAGCCAGGAGCACCGACGCCCACCTGTGTGCCCGGGCAGGAGGAGATGGCCGCCCCAGCTCCCGTGGGGCGCACGCTCACCCGTCCTCCCCCCTTTGGGCCGCCCCAGATGGGGGTGACGCCCACTGAGCTGGAAAGGAGCATCTTCTTACTCAGTCTCCCCTCCCAAATGGTGGTCCCCTCCGGACACACCTCCCAGACACATGCTCACCTGGGTGTCGCTGAACCCAGTCAAGGTGACATCACAGGCAGTGACCTTGGCACCCTCACCTCTGGTCCCCTGTTCCCTGGCTGCTGGTTCACTCCCGTCTCCAAGGAGCTGGGACTTGGTGAGCCTGGACGCCAAGGTGCAGAGGGGCCGCCCGGGTGGTGGCGGCACGTCCATGTCCCTGACTCCGTGGCAGAGGTCCCCCAGACCTCCCCTCCACGTTTGCCCCAGGCTGGACCTGTGCGGCGTCCTTTATAACAAACTGTAACCGTAAATGTGGTCCTTTACTGAGCTCTGTGGGTTCTTCTAGTGAGTTATTGACCCTGAGTGGGTAGTGGGAGCCCCCTGTCTGTAGCCAGTGAGTCAGCAGTGGGTGGCCTGGGTGGCCTGGGGTCTGAGTGAGGGCCAGACCGGAGGGTCGGGGAGGGTGCCCTCACCTGTGCATTTTGGCCCAACCCCGGGTGGGAGTCACCACAGACGTAGGTGTGGCTGTCAGCGGTCCCCCGAGGTCCTCGGGGGGCTGTGGGGCCAGGCAGAGACCTGCTGCCCACGCCACCATCCTGTCCCCAGGCCGTGTTTGGTCATTCACCCCGGAGCTGCGCACACAGGCACCTCGGCCAACGCTGGTGGACCTCCGTCTGCCAAGTTGCTTCGTGCGTCCCCCAGACCTCCCACGTGGTCTGGTTTCAGGAATAATGGTAGCGGGCACTCGGAGTTCTGACCGTTCTCGACTTCAGAAGCAAAGTTGTCTTTCCCCGTTTGTGCCGGTGAGCACAGACGCGGGCCGGGCCCGGAGCCCTGGCCCCGGACGGTGGGCCCAGGTTGGGAAACCGGTCTGCGCTCCCAGACTCCCAGACACAGCCACCAGAGGGTTCCTGTGGAACACCCACACGGGGCAGGGGAGGCGAATGGGTGCTCGGCCCCCAGGCGGCCTCTCCGGTGGGCGCTTTGCAGACAATTGGGAGGCAGAGCCAGGACTCTCGAGGCCCGTGAAACGGAGAGGCGGCCGAGCGGGAGCTGAAGCAGCTGGAGTTCCACGCATCAGGGTGGCGGCCAGGCTCCCGGGACGATGGGGACGTGCCTTGAATGGCGGGGCCGTCGTGGGTGTGTGCACACAGGGGGAGTCTCGGTGTGTCACCTTCCCCAGGTGGGGGGACACGAGAACACTTTGTCACCATCCTGTCTTACTTACAGTGAGCATCTGAAAGCGGATGCGACTATTTCTTCACAGTGGCCCTGACCAGAACACAAGCCTGGGTTGGGGGTTCGGTCCCCGGTCGGGGTGGGTACGAGGCTCCTGGTCAATGTTTCTCTCTCACATTGATGTTTCTGTCCCTCTATTTCTCCCTTCCTTCGCCTGGCTCTAAAAATTAAATAAACAAATTCTTTATAATGAACATGCGTTCAGAGTTGTGCGCATTTCTAGGAGGGCACCCCTGTTTTCTTCAGGTTCCTGGCATCTTTCTATAATCAGCCCTTCCACCAACCAGACATGATCGTTGGACGTGTTTGGAGCCTCAGACACGCGCAGCAGCCTGCGTTCTGGGTCACAGGTCACTGGGGCGGGGGGCGGCACTCCAGGATGACGCCCCACTGTCCCACGTGGGGCGAGCACAGATGTGTTCAGACTATGACAGAGTGACCTAGGCCATGACGGGGCCAGGACCAAGCCACACTTCCCAGGGGGCTCCTGTACCGTGGGGGGGTCACATCCGGAAAACTGTCTCCCGGGGCCACCCCCACTTTCTCCGGGGCCCAGAGTTCTGGGGGCCTGCGGGGGGGGGGCTTTCGTTTTGTGGGCGGAGGCAGCAGGCAGAGTGGCGGACACTGGTTTGGAAGCCCGTCGTGTCTGGGTTTCCATGGCTATGTGGCTTTGCACCGGTGACAACCCCTGCGCCAGGCTTTCCCTTTGTAAAGTGGGGGTGGGGTGTGTGGTGTGCGGGCTGGTGGAGCAGGTGAACGTGGCTGCTGTGCCCTGTCCTGCAGGTGCCGCCTGCGCTGTGGGCCGGCTGCCCGCACCTGTTAGAACAGGCAGGCTGGCCCGGAGGCTCCTCCACTCGTTCACGCCTGAGGGCATCCTGAGAGCCGCAGCCGGGGCGGCGGTGTCCTGGTGAGACCCACGCCCGTGTCTTCCTGCAGGGGAGGACTGCCACGGGAGACGTGTCGTCTCGTTCAGCTGCTGCCGGATGCCGCCCTCGCACGAACTCAACCACAGGCGCCTGCTGGAGTAAGTCCCGCCCTGTGACTGCACCCTCCACACACACTGCCCCGTGCACACACCCCTCCATCACTCAGCACAGGGGGGACGTCCGGGTCAAAGGCTAACATACGTAGATCGAGTCACGGACCCCAGGCACATGTCACATAACTGCCAGTCACCAAACCCGCCTGCAGGACAGCTGCCCCATCGGTCGGCCCAGGGAGGCTTTAGGGCCCATCTTGAGCTCTGGCCCTAGGCCTTGGGGCCCTTTGGGGCCTCCTCTTTCTCGAAGCCTCCCCCCTGCCGCCCCCGAGCTCCCAGGCCCTCTGCATTGGCCTCAGTGGCCTCAGCTATAAAATGGGCACAACGGAGTCTGTCTGAGGGGGTTGTCGTGAGTACGTGCGAGGAAGGCAGCTGTCCTCGGGGTCAGCACCTGGGACAGCGGACACTCGGTGTTGTTTAGAAACCAAACCAGCGAAGGAGAAGCTGGCTGCTGACTCCTTCTGTGCAAGGAAAGGTCCCCCCATGGTGTCCGGCAGGGAAGCGCTGGTCGGACCCTCACAGGCGGGCGGAGGCTCCATCGTGGGGAAAGCCTGTTTGGTTTCACAGCAGCGGGAGGGCGACGGTCACAACCGAGTCTGTGCTTGGTGCCCAGGTACTTGAAGTACGCACTGGACCAGCACGTGGAGAGCGATTACATCCTGGTCTACTTCCACTACGGGCTGAGCAGCCGGAACAAGCCGTCCCTGCACTGGCTGCAGGGCGCCTACAGGGAGTTCGACCGGAAGTGCGTGCCCCCCTCCCGGCCCGGGGGGGGGAGTGGAGAGGGGGCTGGCGGCTGGGCCCAGGGGCTCAGCTGTGCGGTGGGCCAGCCCGGGGTCCTGGGACTCTGTGTGGCGTGGCAGGCCGGGGCGGGGAGGCACAAGTGTCCTCTCGGGGCCCGTGGGCCTTGGTCACAGTCCCCTGACACCCCATTCACTGCCCAGGGCTCAAAGCCGCCACAGACAAGATGTGAACAAGCAGGGGGAGCCCTGTTCCAACACAAGTGTTTTCAGACGCTGAAACGTGACCTTCATTCCGTTTTCACATGTCACTTCATGAACTGTTATTCTGCGAATTTTTTTCAACCAAGTGCAAACGTAAAGCTCTTCTTGGCTGGCAGGACATCTCCCTGCCAGGGCCCACGGCCACCGTGCGGGCCCCTCCCCCCGACGGGGCCCGGCCACCTCTGTCCCCACCCGGGGTGCACGCCAATGGCCTTGGCTCAGTCTGATGGCTTCGAACTGAATTATTCAGGAAGGAGGGAGGGAGGCAAGCTGAGAATCACCTCGTTTTTTGTTTTTCTTCTTGAGCGGTGCTGCGTGAGATGACGTGAACGCACTGCGACTCCTCAGAGCAGTTGTGTGTCTTAGATTTCATTTATTTACTTTAGAGGGAGAGGAAGGGAGAGAAGGAGAGAAACATGGATCACTTGCCTCTCATGTGCCCCCAACTGGGGACCTGGCCCTCAACCCAGGCATGTGCCCTGACTGGGAACTGAACTAGCAACCTTTCGCAGCCCACTGAGTCACACCAGCCAAGGGCGAATCACCTTGTTTTTAAGTGGGTGCCTAGTGCCTCGCTGTGTGGGACTCTGTGACCCACATAATAAAGTCCTTGCCCCCCCAGAATCAATTCTAGGCAGAGAATGGGGTGTGGTTTTAGTTTTAAGAGCTGTGGCCTCGTCGCCCTCCAGCGTGCGCCCCCCGGCCTCGAGTGAGTGAGCCCCAGTAAGTGGGGCCATGGGGAGGTCCTGATTTCCCCCCGAGTTCGAGTCCTTTCTGGGTCTGTCCCACGTCCTTGAACTGGCTCTGGCGAGGAGCCTGGGTGTCCCTGCGGGTCCTGCTCTGAAGTCGGGTGCCCCCCCTCAGGTACAAGAAGAACTTGAAGGCTCTCTATGTCGTGCACCCCACCAACTTCATCAAAGTCCTGTGGAACGTCTTCAGACCCCTCATCAGGTAGGCGGCCCCTCCGCCGGCCCCCCACGGCTCCACGCTCGGCGAGTGGCCACACAGTACGTGTGCTCACACGCACCCTCCAGCACTCTGTGCCCACGCCGTCTGAGACCCCCAGACTGCTCTCCCGGGTCCCGACCTGCCTTCCGAGCCCTCTGCACCTCCCGGCCACCCTGGGACGTGGGAAGGAGCACCCCAGTGTGTCCCACATGCAAGGTGACCCTGGGGGAGGAACCCTGTACTGCCCCCACTACCTCAGCATACAGAGTCCTGAGCCATCCGTGGAGCCTGGGGCCCAGCAGGTGCCTGGCTGGCTGGACTGGGGCGCCAGAAACACAGGTGGATCAGAGAGGGGGCTCTTGGTCTGGTACGGGGGGCCCCCCTGTAGCTCTGAAGCAGCACCTCCGTCCCCACGGACTGTCCCTGCAGAAGCACCAGGACCCCCTTGCCCCTTAGTGCCAGTGGCCGGGGGTCCAGGCACCTGTCTGATCCCCCCTCATCCACTAGGGGGAGCCGGTGCAGGCAGTGGGGCCTCTCCTGGTTCTGGGTTCTAACTGGGCTTGTGATAAAACAGTTTCGTTTCAGTTTTAAAGCTCGGGGAGTTTCTAGATTCTGGACGGGTAGAGCCTGTGGCCATTTTAATGGCGTAAAATCGCCCAGGAGGGTGCATGTCGAGTGAGGCGGGACAAAAGCAGAGGGACACAAGGAAGCTTCGGAGGTGACACCTGTGCTCGTCCCTTGGTTGCGGAGACAGTGTCATGGCACACGCACACGTCCTCACACACCTGGCCGTGAAGGCGAACGCCTGCCGTTCCGGGTCGGGCGGGGCGCTTGCCAGAGCAGGTGCCGGTGGGCCTGCTCCCACGGCGCCCCCTGCCCCGTCCTCTCCCCACTCTGTAGCCCAGCAGACTGAGGCTCATGCATCACAGCAGAGGCGGAGTCATGCTGTGGTAACTACGTACTGCGTGGCCCAGATTTCTCGGGGCCGCTTCATACCTTACATAAATGCCTGGTCACCGTGTCGTATTCCTGAAGCTAATAAGTGTGTCGACTGTGACTGAAACATAAAAGACAAGTACACATAAAGCATAGTAATGGACACACGTGGTAGTGTCTGCCAGGGTGGGGCAGCAGACCAGTTTACGCAGATGGTCCCTGTATGTGGGCAGGAGGAGCCCCGTTTTCGGGTGGGGGGTGCCGAGGCCCTGCAGGTGGGCGAGTTGATTGGCCCAGGGTTGGGCTGGCCCTGTGGCGGCACTGGCTCCGCTGTGGTCCCCAGGGGGACAGCGTCCTGGAGAGAAGCCGGAAAGGACTGGGTATGGCCTGGGCCCTCAGGGACCCTCACAGGGAGAGGAGGTGGCGCAATGGGAAGCCCCTCTCTGGGCCGCCCTTCTGCACCGCGGGCTCCCGCACATTCTCTGCGTCTCCGCAGATTCTCGGGACGCAGACTGGAGTTTATGCTTCTGCAGAGGGTCCCAGTGCATCTGTGGTCTTACAAAAGCGGAACGTCTACGGACTCGCAGCCTCTGTTACATCCCCAGTCTGGGTTGCCTTCTCCCACTCCTGCCGCCCTTCCCCTCCCGCCTGCAGCTCTGTGGACGCCTCGTTGTTTCTGGTCTCTTCTGCTTTTCCAGTCACAAGTTTGGGAGAAAAGTCACCTATTTCAACTACCTGAGTGAGCTCCGTGTGCACCTCCAGTGCGACCAGCTGGCCATCCCCCCGGAAGTCGTGCGGTGAGTCAGACCGCACCTGCCCTGGGCCGCGGGTCTCGGTCCTGTCCTGCTCGCACGGCCGGACCCGGCTCAGCGGCCGGCAGCGCCCTTAAGGATGCGCAGTGGGGATGCCGGCTGCTGACTCGGGGGCGTGTGCGGGCGCGGGCGCGGGCGCGTGCGGGTCCGCCGTTTCTCTCACCCACACCTTGCAAAACGGGTTTTAAAAAATAACTACGGCGATGCTCAATGCTCTGCGTTTTGCTTTGGGGCAGAGCCTTGGGGTGTGCGTCGGGTTTGTGGGTGACACTGGACGTGCTCAGGCACGTCACAGGTGCCCTCGAGAGCAGCACGCTCTGTGGCTTCTTGCTGAAAGCTCACTTCATGTATCTGCTGCGTTAATTTACATGGCAGAGGTGCCCCCCCACCTGGTCTGTCATGTGGGGTGGGGGAGCCCAGGAAAGCCCGGGAAGGCGTGTGGTGGCCCTCAGCCCACAGCCAGTGCAAGGTGGGGTCCCGTCCAACCCGTGCCTCTGCCCCTTGCGTCTCCCTCCCTGGGTGTCCTCTGAGGGAACGGCCCTTCCAAGCTGCAGGCAGGTGAGGACGGCAGCCTTGCAGGGAGAGCAGAGAGGCTGAGCTGCCTCCGGGCTCCAAGTCACATGCCAGAGGCCGGGGACAGAGCCCTGTGCGGAGTGACTCTGCCCCCAGGACCACCCCCAGGTGTCAGGGGCCACAAATCAGAGATGACAGGGGCCGCAGGAGGCGCTGCACCCAGCTGGGGAGGGGCTGATGGAGCGGGTGTGCCATGGGAGGCTTCCCGGGGGGGAGACTCCTGGGGCGGGTTTCAGGGGGTGGCTGACTGTATCAGGAAGCCAGGGAAGGGTGTTTCCAACAGAAGGGGACGTCCCCATGCAGACACATGCGGGTGCAGTGCTGGCCAGGGGTTGGTGAAGTGACTGAACATTTGAGTGGGCTGGGCTTCCCTTCCTGCCTTTTGTGTGAACACCTCTGGCAGTGGTAGAGAGTGTGTGTGTGTGTGTGTGTGTGTGTGTGTGTGTGTGTGTATGTGTGTGTGTGTGTGTGAGAGAGAGAGAGAGAGAGAGAGAGAGAGACTGCAGTGTGGCACACGGACCCAGGAGGCTGAGACACTTGAGTGTCCTGCAGACGCCCGCAGGGCACCGGCCCCCAGACAGAGCCTGCCGGTGGCCCCTCTGGCCTGAACCCCGCCAGGTGAGAGCCGGACTCCTGCTGTGTCTGCAGGTACGACGAGAAGCTCCAGAGCCTGCGCAAGGGCGCGCCACTCCCTCCCGCCAAGACACCGCCGCCGCGGCCCCCCCTGCCCACGCAGCAGTTCGGCGTCAGTCTGCAGTAGTAAGTGAGCCTGGCCTGGCCTGTTCTTGCTTCAGCTGTGGGACCATGGGGCGCCTCTGTGGGGGGAAGTGGTCCCCAGACCTTGGCCTGCGTGCCCGAGCTTACCCTGCAGGAGTGAAGCCTGAGACGGTCACTGGGAAGGTGCCCACCGCTGTGTGTGACTCAGTGCACCACGTCCCTTCACCCTTCAGTCTCCTCCACCCGGAGTGAGGGAGGGGCGGGTGGCGGGCCGCTCACCAACCCCTGTGGTCGTGGTGTCCTGGTCCCCAGAACCTGTGACTTTGTTGTTTTACATGGTAAAAGAGACTTTACAAGTATGATTAGGTGAAGGATCTTGGGGGAGTCATCCTGGGTGATTGGGGGTGGGGGCATTGTCCTCACAGTTGTCCTCATACGAGGGATGCAGGAGGCTCAAGGTCGGAAGGATGTGAGGACACCGCAGGACCACAGCCAGCCAGTGCAGGTGCCCCAGAAGCTGCGAGAGGCCGGGAACGGGCTGTCCTCTGGAACCGCCAGAAAGAACGTAGCCCCGTTGACCCATTTTAGACACCCGACGCGTCCAGAGGGGTGAGGTAGTAAACTCGTGTAGATTTGAGCTCCCCGGTTTATGGTAGTTAGTTATAGCAGGGCTAGGAAACTGGTACAGGCAGTGGGAGGTGGGCGGGGGGCTGTGCGGACGGACACCCGTCTCAGAGCCAGGCAAGTCCGCTGGGGGCCTGGTGAGAGCTGGCAGGGAGGGGGCCCAGGAGGAGCGGCTGGGGAAGGGCGGCCCGGTGTGTGGGTGTGGTGGGGCAGAGGGCACCTCGGGTGTGTCCCAGCAGGTAAAGGGGCCCAATGCTCTGCAGACCTTTGGGATGCTAGGCATGGCCTGCACTGGCCAGTGTGGCTGCTGAGCCTGTGAAATGTGCCTGGTGCCCATGCGGCCCCGAGTTTCTGACTTTATTTGAGTCAAGTGCAGCTCTGGACTAGGGGCATTTTGTGAGCACTTTACAAACACTGTATCTGTTCAGATAGATCCTTCCCCTTCATGTGTCTGGAACCAAAGTTCACCAAAAGGCATTTCCTTTTCTTTTTTTAAACATTGTAATAAGTGCTGGCGTGACCCCCCCTCACCCCCCCACTCCTAACAGCCCCAGGGAAGGCAGGCTGGGGCTCAGACCCGCAGTGGCGCTGGGCCCCTCTGGGGGCGCTGGTGAGAACTCCGCTCTCCGGAGGGTCCCAGGGACGCCCAACCAGCAAGGCCTGGGATTTCCACCCACCTGCCACCCTTTTACCCACGTTTGGCCTGTCCCGAGTTTCTGTGGGGGTCCTGGGTGGCCCTCGCCAAGACCACTGGCCTTTCCACCATCAGTCCCTCAGCCTGGTGACTCACAGTGCCTTTCGGACTGGCTTCTCTGTCCAGAGCCATGTCTGTCTCATTGTCTAATAAAACTTTAAAAATGAAAAGCCCAGACGCACCCACCTGGTGGTTTCTGAAGCCATCCCCCTGGGCATGCGGGAGGTTGTCAGTAAGGGTGGCGTCTCTGCTCTGTGAAGCCCACCAGGGGCCCCGTGGTCTTGGGACGTGTTGACCCCGCGATCAAGCTATTGAGCCCCAGATTAAAGGCACATGAGTGACCCCCCCTTAGAAAAGCTGTGGTTCCTTCCAGTAACAGGGCCCCTCGTCACTGGGAAAACCGGTCCCGCGCGTCTGCGGGGAGTGGTGAGGGGCATGGGTCAGCCTTCGAAAACATTCTGGGCGCCTCGCTTCCAGAATCTGTGAGATTGCCTCTTGAAATTAATATTTTCTGCTGTTGCGTTGAGAACAACTACAATAAAATGGCAATGAACACATTAAATAAGCCACCAACTATGTAATTTTCTTGGACTATGAATGAATAAACACCATTAAAATTCATAACCCCATCCTACTCGCAAATGTTAATTTGCTGAGTTAAAGTTCAAAAGCACACAACTGAAAGCCATCACCTTAGAATAAGCCAATTAAGTTAGCGTGTTAATGGGAAGTTGGCGATTCAAGAGGTCTCTGCCGCCTCGCCATCCCTGAGGAGGGAAATGGAAATGTTCGTGCGAATTTAGCACAGTCCTGCCTGGGCAGACTTGGCCTCGCGGACAGAGGGAGGGGCCTCGGGGGGGGGGGGGGGGGGGCGAGGCCACATCCAGTTCTGGCGCTTTCCGCCTTTGGAAGTCAAGCTAGTCAACCGCAGTTTCTCTCTGTAACTGGAGTTGAAACCTCGCCCTCCTCACCCTCCAGGGCCACGGAGGCTTAACCTCCGTGTCAGGGGTGTCAGGCTCTATGAGCCAGTTCCTGCTCCCCGGCACTTTGCCTGCTCTTATTCCTTCTTCACGGCCTCCTCCTCCAGGAAGCCTTCCCTGATGACTCCACACAAACAGGGACCATTTGTTGGAAAGACTATTTTCCTCCCATTGAGTTGCCTTGACACCCTTATCAAAAACTGATTGACCATAAACGTGACGGTTTATTTCTGACTCTTAACTTTCTTCTATGGCTCTGTGTGCTGGGGCCACACCATCTTTATCAGCGAAGCTTTCAGTGAGTTTTGAAATCGGGGGTATGAGTCTTCCGACTTTGTTCTTTCTCGAGATCATTTTGGCAATTCTGGGCCCCCTGTGTTTCCGCACAAAGTTTAGAATCGGCTTGTCAGTTTCTGCAGCTGCTGGACCTCGGTGGGGCGGGGCCGCCCTCCTAACGGTGGGTCTTTTGAGTCCCCAAACACAGGATGTTTTTCCATTTATTTGGACCTTTTCAATCTTTTCAGGGACGTTTTGTAGTTTTCAGTGTGCCCGAGTGGCCCCCTTTCGCTAAGGACCCGAGGACGACAGATTCCAGGAGTCTATCTGCTCACGGGCAGGCAGGGCCACTGGTTTGTTGGGCCCCAGGGTGGAAGGCTGCGTCAGCCAGGACACGCTTTGCCAGGGTAGAGGTGACAGACGTCTGCTTCCCCCTCTTTCCTCGAGTGCTCGGGAACACTTGCCTTTGGTCTCCTGCCCCGGTTGGCTGGGCAGAGCATAAAATGCTGTCTGGGAAGGCGGTGGGGGTGGGGGTGGGGGTGGGGGTGGCCGGGCCTTCTTCGGCTCTGGTTCTAAGTCACGGGCCAGCTGGACGTGACAGAACTGCCACCCACTGGGGTTGGGGGGTTGATCTAGCAGGTGAAGCAAACCTCTTTGTTGTGGCCCCCGAAGCTCCCAGGGAGGGCCAGCTGTCGGAGGGCTGTCTCAGCCTGCGGGGGCCACCACCTCCCAGCACCCCCACTGCACACCAGGCCTTGGGCTGCCCCAGGCACAGGGGCCTGGGGGTCAGTTGGCCTGAGCCCTAGGCTGTGTGACTTCAGATAAAACAGCCTCTCTGGGTCTGTTTGTCCTCTATGAACACGGGGCCACTGGGGTCAGGCAGCAGGCTCAGCAGGGTGCCCGGCCCACAGAGCACGGTTCTCTGGGCTCCCAGGCTCTCCTGCCTGTCCGTGTGGCTGGGACCTTTGCCGGTCAGTCACATGAGCAGCAGCCATCTCTCCCGATTCAGAAGCTGGGAGGGGCCATGAGACAAATGACCGGCTCGGAGGACAGGAAAAGCCTGGGGGCCTGCCCCCCGCCCTTTTACCAGTGCGATTTCAGGTCACCCTTCCTCCCTCCCCCTTCCTCTTGTTTTTAAAAGTCACAACTCACTCTCTGCCTGCATCCTTGCCTGCAAAACCCGGGAAAGAACATGTTCTGCATCACTCAAAGCACTTCTCCTAAGGGGAGGGAGTACCAGTGAGAATCAAGTGGCAAGAATCCCGCCTGGTCCCCCAGGGCGGGCGGCTGGCCAGCAGTGGGCTGGGCGTTGCCGACCCTTGAATAGCACCCTGCCTCCGAGAGCCCACCGCCCTGCGTGCACCCCTGAACATCAGTGTAGGGTGTGGGTTTAACACGGTCCCAGCAGCCCTGAAAGGACCGGCCCTGGCCCACACGGCGGAGATGCACAGGGCGGGGCCTGCTGTGAGAGGGCCCGCCCCCAGGCCTCCTGGGTAGTCAGGAGCACACACGAGCCCCTGGGGGCAGTCGTCATTCTCACACAGACCCCGTCACTCCCCGGGGCAAGCCCTTCCTTGCTGGCTGGGACACGGGAGGAGAAACCGAGGCTGTGGTTTCCGCTCTGTCCAGAACGGTGGCTGAATGAGTGCCAGGGCCCCGTTCTGCAGGTTGGGTGTCTGTCCTGATCCTTCACTGCCCGGCACAGGGAAGGATGCTGCGCTGGGAGCCCCTTTTGGGGCCTCGGTCTCCTGCTCTCCCGGGCCCCTTTCTTTGAGGGAAGTCTGCTCTTAAAACACGAAACATCGGCTAAGCTATAGGCGAAGGGTTTGTCTAGCAGCCATGACATGACAGGTCTCCGGGGTCCAGCCCCGTCAGTGAGTCTCAGTTGGGTCCCCTCCCAGGAACGGTAACTAGCCCCGGCTTTGGAATCAACAGACCCCGGCACTCTAGCTGGGGGACCCTGTCTGTGCGAGTCACCACAGGGCCCTGGACCTGTGTCTGCACTGGGAGAGGGGCCCCCTGTGTTTGGCCTGGGAAGCCCCTGAGCCCCTGGCTTTCTAGCGATTTTAGTTATCAACGCCTTTGACTTGCACGTTAGCAAAGCCATTTGTGTTCTTCACCACGAATGTGAATTGCAGCTCCCAGCCTTCCTGCTTTCCTGGAAGGGAAACTGAGTCTGGAAAGGCTAAGGGAGAGGCCGAGGGTCGTTCAGCTCAGGCGGGGCCAGGACATGCTCTCCAAGAAAACGGAGGAGGAAAGAGCCCGAGCTGGCAGAAACTCTGACACCACACGCCACTCCTGGCCACCAGGCCACCTGAGGGCGCTGGCCGTCTCTGTCTCTCTCTGTCTCTCTGCAGGGCGCCCGGGGCCTGTTCTCACAGGTGCGGAGAGGCCCAGAGTCCTGAGCTGGTCGGGATTACCTGTCATGCCCAGGTCAAAACTGTCGCTATCTTTTCTGTGCCCTCAGCCTCAAAGACAAAAACCAAGGCGAACTCATCCCCCCTGTGCTGAGGTTCACGGTGACCTACCTGAGAGAGAAGGGTGAGTGGGAGCTGGCTCCAGCTAGGGGCTGGGGGACAGGCGGGGAGTTTGCGTGCCTTGCTGGGAGGCCATCCGGGTCATGAGCACCCCGGGACGCGGAGTTGAAGGAGGGGAGACCGTGCAGGTGGGTGACCGGGATGGGACGGGTTCAGGCACAGTGGTTCCCGCCGTGGGCTCTGGACCTGCACTGTCTGGGTTCGAATCCTGGCTCCCCTGTGTCCCAGCCGGCTGGGCGTGGGCCAGGTGGTGCACCTTCTCCGGGCCTCTGTCTCCTCCTTGGCCCGATAGGCTGCTCACAGGGTGGCTGCAGGGCCCAGTGAGGTGACACAGTCCCCCCCTCTGTGGAGGGGGCTGCTTTGACACGGCAGGTGAGCCTGGGTCGAAGACCCCAGCGGTGCACACCTCAGGGACGTGGGGGCCAAGCCTGTGGCCCCTCCGGGGCTCCCGAGGCCAGAGCTCAGAGCCACGGGGAAGGTGTGTGGGGGCTGCGCCTCCCCTGAACGGGGAGCACCGGGGGGTGGTGGCCCCCCACAAGGGCACGTGCTGGGGGGACACATCAGGACATGGGAACCACCACTGTCCCCCGGTGCCCCGTCACTGCGAGTTCTGCTCACACAGAGCTCTGGGAGCCGGTGCCTCTGCAGCCAAGGGCGTGGCGCGCCCTGGGGGCTGTCTCCACTCTGATGACCGTGTTTTGCTGTGTATAATACACACTTTTTTGCCCGAATTTTGATGGAAAAATAAGGATGCACGTTATACAGGAGTGGACGTGCCGGGTGGCCCAGTGGCCAGGGATGGTACTGAATCCTAACTTCGTAAATGTTTTAAATTATTTTATTTGTGCCTGTGCATGAAAAGTGTAACTCTAAAAAGCGATATCTATATCCATGTGCAAGATAATACCTTGGGATCCTATCATCGGTTTTGTTTCTCAATATAAGTAAATAAAAAATTGAATAACAATTAAAGTGAAATATTTTTTTCTGAAAATTTGGCCCAAAACGTGGGTGCCCACCACACACAGGAGTGCATTGTACCTGCCCCAAAACGGCGAATGTCATTTCTCCTGCTCCCCCTTCTGCTGCGTGTTTCAGGACCAGACAAAGGCTAGTGCACAGACCGGGTCAGAAACCGTGAAAGGGGCAGCCTTTGTTTCGTGCGGCTACTCACTCCATTAGAAAACAAAACACAGAAACAGCCCACAGCAGGAGCTCAGGGTCTGTTTGTTGAATGAACACGAGACTGGAGGCTGGAGGGACAGGGAGAGGGGACAGGGATCCAAGGGCAGCTGCCCTGTGGCCGAGAGGACAGGAGGGTTGGCCACAGGTGCCGGATCCTGGTGCCGATCGCCCCCTCGGCGTCAGAATGGAGGAAGACGGGGGGGGGGGGGGGCGGAGAACACAGGTCTGGTCTGCATTCCCCCCGAAGTGGGAGTCACTACCCCCTGCGGTGAATTGCCCCACAGAACCCTTACACATGGCTGGAGTTTTTAATTTCATTTAACTTTAAATTTAAGTCTTCACGTGCAGTGAGGGACAAGCCAGCCCTAAACCTTCATGGGGAGAAAGAAGCCAGCAGCGGGCCGGGGGCCCGTCCATCAGCCCTCGGGGGCCACGGCGGCCCGGGTGACCCGCAGACAGGGCAGCTGGGCTTGGTGGGCCATGTGCTTGGTCCGAGGCAGAGCTGCCCGGGACCCGGGTTTGTCTGGCTTCAGTGGTGGTCGGTCTCCAGGCTCCCATCCTGGGGCCCACACAGGTGGGAGGGAAATCGGGTCGGATTTGGGAAACGTGGAAGAGTTTGAACTGAGGAGTAAATGAAGGAGGGGAGTGGATGGGGGCGGATAATGACCCAGACTGGGAGGAGGATGCGTGGCAGGGTGGGCCATGGAAGGTTCTGGAAACCTGATGTGCTGGGACCCGTGAGATTCCTGGGAGCCCTCTCCCTGCAGGACTCCGCACGGAGGGCCTGTTCCGGCGATCGGCCAGCATCCAGACCGTCCTCGAGATCCAGCGGCTCTACAATCAAGGTGAGTCGGCTCCCCCGAGCCCCCCACCCAAGGCAGCTTGGCTCTGCCCCCAGCCCCCGAAGAGCCCAGGGCCGGGACAGCTGTCCCGGTGGGTCCTGTGCCCAGCTCCGGGGGCAGGTGGCCCTTAGGGTTCCCCCCCACACCCCAGGGGGACAGTGTAGGGGACTGTTCTGTGGCAGCTCCAGCAGCAGCAGCGCCGACCTCAGCACGGCATCCTCAGGGGCCGGGGTGTAGCCCACAGGCGGAGACGCTGGCAAAGCGGCGGCTCACTCACAAGGAGGATCCCGTCCTCCGCGCACTCTCGTCGTTTCCGTGGCCGTGCGTTCGCTCCTTTGGCGACACGGCCAGCACTGGGCCCTGGTGGGCCAGCCCCTCCCCATGCCGTGTGGGCACTGGGGACAGTGGGAGCCAGGGCCCTGACCCCGGGCACTCCCACCCTCGCCAGGACCAAGCTGCCTGTCAGGGAAGTCAGCAACGCCCCAGCCTCCGCCAGGCTCCCTGGGGAAAGTGGGGCCGGCGGGGTGACAGCACCCCCACTTCCAGAGAGGACAGAGCCCACCCCAGTCAGCCCCGCTGCCTGAGCCTCTTCCCTCAGAGGTTTAAAGCTGCTTCGCATCCGCCCCGTGTTGAAGCCGAGTCCCCAGCCCAGGGTCGGAACTCAGCTGCCTGTGCCCTGTGTCCAGGCAAGCCCGTGAACTTTGACGACTATGGGGATGTCCACATCCCCGCCGTGATCCTGAAGACCTTCCTGCGGGAGCTGCCCCAGCCGCTGCTGACCTTCAAGGCCTACGAGCAGATCCTGGGGATCACCAGTATGTGTGGCCTGAGCCAGGCCGGGGGGGGGGCGCCCCTGCCTGGGTCGGGGGTCGGGGTTCTCAGGTGCAGCTGAACTGAGAGGCAGGGCAGTCAAGGGCGAGCCGGGCCTGGTTCCTGGCACCCGGGACGTGCTCCGGGCACGGTGGCTCTGTGACAGTCAGTGGGGGGTCCCTTCTGCTCGCTGTGAGGGCTCTTTCCTGAAGGGATCGCAGTGGGAGCCGCTCTGGGACCGTCATTTGGAGGAAGTGGGGTGAGGCTGGAAAGCTGGGTTCCAGGGCCGGGAGGGGGACCCCGGGCACGTGGGTGGCTCAAACATAGTCATTTCACAGGAACTCCATGTCCCTTAAATGACCCAACAGCATGTTTTCACCAAAGAATGGCTTTTATGAAAAAACCTGCAAGAATAGTCGCAGTAGAAGGCTTTGTGTCCTTCAGCTGTGGCTGTGTTTGCGAAGCCCAGGGTGTTCTCGGTGACCCCCCACGGGGTGTGGCGGGAGGTCAGCACTCCCAGGGACTGGGGTGTGAGAGTGTGTGCGTGTGCATGTGTGTCAGTGAGTGTGTGTGTGTGTGTGAGCGTTGCGTGTGCTCCTGCAGGGGCAGCTTGGGGACGCTCGTCGGTTGGTGAGTTTTGACCGGAAGCTCAGAGCTCAGTGGGGGACTGTAGTTAAGAGGGACCTGGGGTGGGAGGTGGTCTCTCAACCCTGGGACAGCTACATTTAGCCCCCTGTCGCTGTGGGGCCTTGAGCTGCTGAGAATCATAACCGGGTCAGGTCCGTGGACTGGGGTCAGCATGGGTTCTCCGTAACGGGCCCCGCGGAAACGCCTCGGGCTCGGTGGGCCCGGCTGCACTGAGAAGGAGGCCACAGACGGTTTGCGGCCGCGGCCCCGTGTGGGGAGCTTTACCAGTAAGAATAGGCCGCTGGCCCTGGGGCCCCGGGCTGCTGTGTGCCAGGGCCCAGCCTGGACGTCCCATGTGTGAAGTGGTGTAACCTCCGGGGAGGTCACAGCTGTGTGCCCCTGGTGAAGAAGGGGACAGAGCTGGACGGAGACACCTGCAGGCCAGTGAAGTGAGCAGGTGCTCCAGGCAAGTGCAGGGCGAGGGGAGACACTCTGTTCTTCCCTCCGCCCGCGCCCTCCCCTCGGAAAGGCTCAGAAGGACCCTCATGCCGTCACAGGTGTGGAGAGCAGCCTGCGGGTGACCCGCTGCCGCCAGATCCTGCAGAGCCTTCCGGAACAGAACTACGAGGTGCTCAAGTACCTCATGGGCTTCCTCCAGGAGGTGAGTGGGTGGAGCCGGGCACTGGGGCGGGGCTGGCCCTCTCGGGATCTGGGGTCACACCCTCCCTCCACCTGGAATGTCACTCAGTGGTCCCCGGGGACTTCACCCGAGGCCTGGCGGGCAGTTGCCGCGTGGAGAAGCCCCAGGGCCGACCATGCCCACTCCTGCTGTGGTCCTGGAGGCAGGGGCTGTGTCCCCGGTCATATGACTGGGGAATAGCTTGGTGGGAGCCCAAGGTCATGGCCCTGGCTCCAACCCAGTGCTCTTCCCACTCGCAGGACCCTTGGGTCACCCCGTGTCACGTGTGTCCTCCAGGTGTCCCGGGAGAGCATTTTTAACAAGATGAACAGCTCCAACCTGGCCTGTGTCTTCGGGCTGAATCTGATCTGGCCGTCCCAGGGGGTGGCCTCCCTGAACGCGCTGGTGCCCCTGAACCTGTTCACCGAACTGCTGATCGAACACCACGGAAAGGTCTTCAGTGCCCAGGACGCCGGTGGGGAGCCGGGCGCCGGCTCAGCGGGGCAGGAGAGCGGGGCGGTCCCTTCGCCAGTGGCCTCGCCACGCCCAGTGTGCCTCAGTCCCCTGGCAGCTGCCGGGAGCCTCCGCTAGTGTGGGAAGGCCTGTCCCTCTGTGCATGCGTGTGTGTTAACTTGCCATTAAAGGCACTCGTGGCGAACCTTCCAGTGGCAACACCGTGGCTCTGGTCCTTCGGTCCCTCCCCACACTGCTGAGCGTGGGCAGAGAGGAGACGGTGGCCCCATCAGAATAACAGTCTGACCTGGCTTCACCGAAGTTGGGCGTCTGCGCACTAGGCCTCGTCTCAGGCAGTCGCTGCGGCGGCGATGCTGTGTAACAGACGGACCAGTCATGGACAGCAGCAGCGTCTGGCCTGCTCTCGGCGGGCCAGTCGGGTGGCTCCGGTCTGACTGGGGCTTTAGGAGGCAGAACGCGTTCCTGCCCTGCAGGCAGAGGGGCAGGCGGGCTCCCAGCTCTGGCCGCCGTCCCTAGTACTTACACTGCATTGGCCACAGCTGGGCCAAGGCCAGACCACGGTGGGCGGGCTCTGCCGAGTTAATTTGGCACAGGGGTGACTGGGGCAGTAGGGGGTTGGGGCGGTAAGGCAGGCCTTCCTGTGTCCCTGGGTGTCCCACCAGGAAGGACCCCACCCTTTGGCTGTTTCTGGAGCAGAGGAGATGGGGCCGGGGTTCGGGGGCCAGGAGGGAATCCCTGTGACCCATGGGACATGTCTTCCCTGGGAGAGAGCAGGTCAGGTCCTCTGGGAGGATGAGGTCGGAGGCCGAGGCAGGTCCCTCCGGCAGGAGTCAGAGGACACTGAGTGAGCATGCGGGGCCACAGGCTGGTGAGGAGACCGCTGCCCCCTCTGCCGGGCCCCTGTCTTGTGCCGGGGGTGGTGCTGGACCGCCTTCCCCACCTGCCACTGGAGCCTCGTGGCAGCCCAGCCGGGCAGGTAGCCTTGGTCAGGGCTTGAGGGAGCTTCAGTGACACCCCTCCTTGCTCCCCACTCAGAACATCGAGGGAGAGGACGTCCCACAGGCAGAGCTGAGTGGAGACCTGCCTTAGATCTGGGCCCGAGGGCGTTTGCTCAAACCCACCGCCTGGTCCCACCCCAGGAAGGTGGTTCCGCTCCCTCTCCCAGCTGAGCCAGTCCGGAGAGTCCCTCCTCTTCCCAAGGGAGGGGTGATGGTGGGAGGAGGGGCTGGGGTCATTCCACCCGATGAACTTTCCCCCCCACCCTGGGGCAGGAGGGTATGGGGGCCCCCGAGGAGTACAGGGACTTGCTGGAGGTCACACAGCCCATACGGGCAGACCTCCTGGGGATGTACCTTTGCGAAGCTACAGGGAGGGATCTGGCCTCCATCTCCCCATCTGTACAATGGGCGCATTCACACCGCATGCCCCGCCTCCTGCCCGCCTGGCTCTGAGCACGCAGCCTCGGCTGGAATCGGCGCATGCATGTGCACCTGAGCCATTGGCCCTCCATACGCCTGTTCCCTGTCTGATCAGGGAGCCAGTCAGCGTGGGACCAAGATCACTGCCACCGCATGGCACTTTGGACACTTCCTGCTTGGACTGGAACCTTCTAGATCTTTAGTTTAAAGCAGATGTTGGTCCCCCCAGGTGGCCCACCAGATGCTCCTGTAGGGCCTGCCTTTGCCCTGAGCGGAGGGCAGAGGGCAGCGGCCGGCAGGTGCCCCGGCTCGCCCCGCACCTGCGCCCACACCGCGGAGGCTCCAGCGGAGAGCAGGGCATCCAGGCGTCTGCCCCCCTTCCTCACCGGCCCCCCCACCACAGCTCCCTCTCCCACCAGGTCTGGTCTTCCCCGCCATCTGCCCCTCTTCACTTCTCCTCTAGCTCACAGTTAACTTGGGCTAGAGTATTCTCTGCACTTTAAGGAGTGATTGTTTATTTCTTCTCAGTTCTGCTACCAACACTTTTTTCTTTCATTCTTTAAAAAAAAAACGCACAAAACAACCCTCCAGTTCCGACCAGCCAGCACAGGGAGCCCAGACCTGGCCTGTGTGGGGTCCCCACAGGCCGCGGTTGGGTCCCGCCCAGACCCGAAGAGGCTGAAGCAAAGGAAGCAGGAGGTTGGTCCACCCCAAGTGGAGGGAACTGCCACTGGGGGAGCCAGGACTGGGCACCCCACTTCTAGGGCTGGCCCAGATGCATAGCTGTGTGGCCCTAGCTACGCAGGTCATTTTGCTGGGCGGGGGACGCGCCGAGCTGGAAGGCTCAGCAGGGGCTTCTGTCTGACGCGGTGTAGGTGTGGCTGGGCTCAGGGCTTGAGCTGCTCCCCATTTGTACAACGAGGAGGGCGGCGAGCACGTTGCAATTCCACGGGCTGGAAAGCACCTGCTTTGCACCAGGTGGCACCCATTTCACAGTTTATAGAGACCAGTCGGGACACCTGCTCCCAATGGGCTTGCAGAGCAGCTGGGGTGAAAATAAGCAGAAATGCCCACAAGGAGTATGTTTATAAAGGTTTCATTTATTTATTTTTAGAGACAGGAAGGGAGGGAAAGAGAAACATCAATGTGTGGTCGCCTGTCAAGCGCCCCCTACTGGGCACCTGGCCCGAAACCCCAGCATGTGCCCTGAGTGGGAATCAAACCGACAACCCTTTGGTTCACAAGCTGGCACTCAGTCCACCGAGCTGCAGCAGTCAGGGTGCTGTGTGTTTTTAGAGCTAAAGCAGCGTGAGCAGGACAGAGGCAGGTGCAGGGAGGGAGGGAGGAGCCAGAGCAGTGAGTCCCGGGCACCGTCCAGCTTTCCCACATGAGCTATGCGGGCAGCTGCGCTGCTGGCCTCCCCAGACGGAGGGGCTGGGCTGGAAAGAAAGAGCAGCTTCTGCTGTTGGTTCAGTGACCCAAACCTTCACTGTCTGTTGCAAGAACAGTAACTGCTGGGGAAAGGGAGTGGGACTTTAATGACAAACCGTGAGGAAAAAAGTGACGGTCACTTGCGACTTGACTGCCCATCAGTGACCATTGTTAAGGCTCAAAGGAGTGAGATGTGGGTTGTTACAAGCACTTGGAGGAGCAGCTCCGCAAGCTGGTCCAGCATCGCACGTCTTGGTTGGCAGCCAGACGGGTGGGTGCAGGGCGGGTCTGCACTCACCGCAGGCTTGAGAACAGAGCGGGCAGCCCTGCACTCCCGGGGGCGGGAGGGCCAGCAGGTGGGCTGGCGTCACGTCGGGGGGCTGAGTAGTGGGCTGCGGGTCTCCGAGTGGCTGCAGCTCCGAACGCTACGTGAGAGGGGACACAGGGCCTTCACGGTGTGAAGGGGGAGGACCCCCCAGTCCTGTACGGGCTTCGAGAGCTAACCGGTGTTCTGAACAATATACATAGAGGTTTAGTTTGCCCCCCAAACTAAAGGGGTTTTAAAAAGTGAGTGAGAAGGTGACACACCGAATCCCCCTGGAGCGGGGAAGCAATGGGGTCTTCAGCTTCGTCTGCCCCTCCTGCGGGACGCGGCCTTCCCACAGACAAGGTCTGTGCGCCTCGGACTGACTAGGAAACGTCAAGGGCCAACAAACCAACAGGGACCCGAAGGCGCCAGAGAATGTGCCACGGTGGCTGCACCGCACAGGCCGAGCCTCCAGGGTGTGGCTTTCACGGGAGCCGGCCCGAGGTGGCACTTCTGCCGGAGGGGCTCCATCTCCAGGAGGAAGTGACAACCCTGCCAGCTCAAAGAACAGAGGACGGGGTCAGGGACCACCACAGCCCCTAGAAAGGGAGTGGGGGGTCCCAGGCAGGGGAAGCCAGGGAGGACGAGCCTGAGTCTGTGCCTCTGTCTGTGCCCATGGCGCTGCCCCACCCCCGAGCCACACACGGGCAGGACGGACACCAGGTGTGAACTGAAAAAGAGAAAACAGCCGAACAGAGTTGGAGCCGCAAACAGAGTTTACACTTTGAGTCCCTCCAAGTGAAATGCCTGCTGAAGCAAACAACCAAAACCGAACGTTCTTCGGAGGAATATAACAGAACCCAAGGTCTCTACAGCGCCGTATTTACAGTGTCCAGGACACAACACAAATTATTCATTATACACATAAACAGGCAAACGTAACCCAGCCAATCAATCCACAGAGACCACTCTTAACATGGTGCAGGTGTTGGAGACAGTGGCGGGCAAGGCTGGTGAGGCAGCTGTCAAGTCCTCAAGCGGATAAAGGAAAATGTGCTTATTTTAAGTGAAAAGATGGGACGGCTCCGTTACCAAAAAAAGAATTTTTTTAAAAACCAAAGGGATTCCAGAAAAGCAAAATACAATATCTGAAAATTTTTTAAACACACAAAAATAGAAATTTCAAAAAACCCCGGAATTTCAAAAACGCAAACTGCAATGTCTGAGGTTTTAGAAACACAGCAGCCCTGGCCCTGCAGACGGCGGTGGCCTCCCAGCTGGCCAGCGGGGACCGCCCGCCCGAGGGAAAAGCAATGAAAGGCTTGAGAAAATACGACAGGGCCTCCATGTAAAAATTTCTCACATACGAGGTCCGTCCAGAAGGCATCCAGCCATGAGATATGAAAAAATAGAGACGTGTGTTGAAGATACACAATACGAGGAACATTGTACACGAGACAAGGACGCCCCAGTCCCCTTCAAAGTATGCGCCTTGGGACCTCCCACAGTTCTCCCAGTCGCGATCGGTTGCCCCGTCGTGTTTTCCTGAATCACATTGTTGGTCTGAAATCGTTTCCCTTTTGCAGGTGATTTTAGTTTGGGGAAACGTGAGCACTCACAGGTGCCAAATCTGAGCCGCAGCGGGCTGAGTCTCCTGGGAGATTCGATGTTTTGCAAAAAAACGATGCACGAGACTCGATGCACGAGACTCGAAGCACTAGCGGGCGTGTGGGGGTGATGAAGCCGCCCGTCACCTGTTGCCCGGAGCCGCAGCCTTCGGAGTCACCCCAGTAGTTTCCGAGGAGGCGCATTCAAGCTTAACGCAAAATCTGGTGCTGATTCATTGCTCTGTTCGCTCAGTTGCTCTGGGTGGGACGCCCACACAGGACGCACGCTCCCTCAGTGGTGTCTACCGTCACCACTGCTGGGCTAACAAGCTGACTTGGGAACCTCCGCTCCCCTCTTGCGCACACGTGTGTGCACATCCACACGGACACCCACGCACATGCACGCAGTGTGCTGGTCACAGGAACACGAGCTCTGACTTGTCTGCCCACTCCCGTGGTGGTGTGCATATTCCCACGTGGCCCGTCTCAGACTTGCCCACATGAAGTCCCCAAACAGATTTGGGGAGAGACGCTCACGGTGGCTCTGGGGCTGGTTCCAGGGGACGCCCTTCCCTGGCCCGACCCCCCTCCACTTGCAGCGCATTCCTGCCTGGCAGGAGCCCCACCCGGGGAACGCCTCTCTTACTGTCTTATCTGGGGTGTGGGAGGAGGCAGGGACAGAAGGGTGGGCTGCGCACTCCCTTCGGGGACCCGCCTTGCTTGGGGACAAGTCCTTACACCGCCTGCCACCACTGGGACAAGGGGACCTCTGTCACTCGACAGCAAAACAGGGCCTGTTTGGAGCTGCACTGCCCCGCATGTGGAGGGGAGCCCCTCTGCTCCAGTCTGGCAAGCAGGGGTCCTCGGTGAATTAACAGCAACTGTGGGCAGCGCCCAGTGCTCTGTGGCCCGGCATGGGGTCCTCCAGGGGGACCCAGCAGGTGGGGGGGGGTGAGGTGAGGGGCAGAAGGGCCGCGCTGGGTGGCCCCAGGGGCAGAAGCCCCAGGAAAGCACATCCCCCACAAGACCTAGGGACAGGGCTGTTATGGTCGGAGCGTGCTCCCCTGAAAGAGATGGAAGTGCTGACATTCTGTGTATGAATGTGACCTTACTGGAGAAAGAGGTAGGGTAAGTTTAAATGGGATCATCTGGGTGGTCCCTCATCCAACATGCCTGTGTCCTTCTGAAAGGGACATCGAGATGCACGGGCGCCAGGGAGAATGGCACCTGCCTATGGAGGCCCAGGTCCAGGGGAGGAGTCCAGGCCAGTGGTCGCCGAAGACCGCCAGCCAACTGCTCGGAGGGAAACCAGTGGGAGCCCCAGAAGAGACCGCCGTCCGCAGGCCACAGACCCCCAAGGTCACCAGGAGCTGGGCGGGAGGCTGAACAGTGTGTCCCACTGCCTTCAGAGGAACCAGCCCTGCTGGCCCCTTGACCTTGGACTCCCAGCCCCCAGAACTGGGAGAGAATAACGTCTCTGTGGTTTAAGCCATGAGGTCTGTGGTGATTTGTCACAGCTGTCCCCAAGCTAAGAGAGTGTCCCGGCAGCATAGCCCTCAGGGAGGGCAAGTCCCCTTCAGTGTGGTCTTGTGGGCAGAGGCCACAGGGAGGGGTCATTCCTGGGCCTCCATCCCTCCATGCCCGGGGGCCACCTGCCTGGAACAGGGGCCTGTGCCCTGGGCTGGGTGGGATGGAGCTGACGAAGGAGGAGATGATGGAGGGATGCTGTCCCCACCCAAGGGCTGTCCCAGAGCACGGGCATGGGTCACCTGGGTGCTGGTTGGGTGGGCAAAGCTGTGGGGGGCAGACATCCGCACACTGGGGCCCCTTTCTAATGGCAGAGTTGTCTCATGGAGGAGAAGGGGGCGTGGAGGGGGCGTCTTTGGAGGTAGTTCCCGCCTGGTCAGGAGTGGGGGTGGTGCCCCCTCTGAGGGAGTGCAGTGGGCTGTGTGGGGGCAAGTCGGGGGGTGGGCTGAAGGATGGACTGTGGTCCAGGCCCCCAGCTCCCCAGCCACCCGGATGCGAGTGGATTTCTCACTTGCCTGACCTCAGCGCTCTCACCCGTTCCAACACCCCAGCTTCACAGGGCTGGGTGGACCTGGCCACTAGTTTGGCAGGGGTGACCTTCAGGGGGTCCCTGAGCCAGGATGGAGGCAGCCCCAGGCCCAGAAGCTCCAGGGGAAGCAGCAGGAATCCGCTGCTGGAGAGGAGTGGGGAGCAGCTGTGCAGACACGGACGCCAGGAGGCTGGGTGGAGCTGGCCCAGGAATTCCAGAGGGTGGGCAGCAGGAGGGGGAGCGAGAGCCCTCTAACTAAACAGACGGTGTGTGGCAGACCCCAGCTGGGTGGGCTGTGTACCCTGCCCCCACCCCGTGTCCCTCTCAGACCCCCAGAGCTCCAGGGGACAGTCACTTTGTGTTGGATCCCACCCTCTGGCCACAGCTGGCTGCCCACAGGTGGCTCCTCGTCCTGCCTGGCCCAGCACTGATTGTGGGACACTGTGTGCCCCCCTGCCCGGGAAGCAGAAGTGGGTGCCGTTGACCCACTGAGAACCAGAAAGGAGCCGGGGCAGCGTGGACAGCAGGCTTGGGCTCCCCGTGGCTTGGTGCGTTGTTAGTAGCAACCATGGATCATGACTCTGCAGGAGCACCTGCCACCTCCTGGGGAGTGGGGTCAGCCTGTAGAGGGCGCCCGTGAGCGCCTCGCTCTCCTTCCTGCCCACCTGCTCCCAGAGGCCTCGCTGCAGAAGGCAAGCAAACAAAACCACAGGGCTCTGTAATCATCAACCGAGTTTAATGCGTCCCACAGAAGGGCTACACGGGCATATTCACGACGAACACTTCTCTATCCGCACTATCCACTGGACGGCCCTCCGTGGTCCAAAGAAGCTAAGACTCAAGACAGGCCAGCAGCTCCCCTCCTGGGGCCAGCCTTTCACATCCTCCCGTTCCCTGTTTAAAAACTCCGTCCAATCCGTCCAGGAAGAAAACAAACCCAAAGGAAGGAATCTGAAGACCTTTACATCACAAACCACGCGGCAATGCGTGATTGGCGTCTCGAGTAACCAATATATATAAGACATGTGTCCCACAGTTCACTTTGTTCGATAAAAGAATATAAAAATCTTGTTCAACCCAGTGTTACGTGTATTAAAATAGATCTGTATCGTACAGCACAGTGTCTCCCGGAGTCGTGGAAACGCAGGAGGCACCGCAGCCGCCTGGGGGGCTGGGCCGGCCCCCCTGCCCTGCACGGCTGCGCCCGTGCTCGCCCGCACACGTGCGGTCCCTGCAGCTCAGCACCGCGGGAAGGGCTGGGGGTGGGAGCCTCCAGGCTCCCGGGTGCTTATCTGTTGTGCTAAGTCCCTCGGGACTGGAGAAGCTGGTGGGAGTGACAAGCAGGCACAGCCCACCCCAGGGTGCAGGAGCACTCCAGGACAGTGAGCGCACCCTCTGCTCTCAAGGAGCCGGCAAGAAGGGGGGCTCCGTGGGGTCTCCCGAGGCCCAGCCCACCCCTCTTCCCCACCCACCCCGGGCAGTCTCAGGCTGGTGGGCCCAGGAGGGCGTCCCATGCGGGCCTTGCAGCAGGCATGCCTGCTTCACATTAAACATCTTACGATAAAAACACCATACAAAAACGGAAAGTTATTTTTGGCATAGTGTCTGTACTGGCAAGAAACGGAGAGGAATACTTGACCGGCTCTTCGGAAGGGGAGAGTAAAAGGCTTCAGTTGCAAGTTGAGCGATTCAACCCGAAATGGGGCGCCTGCCCCATGCCCCCTCCGCACAGCTGCGACTCGGTCCTGCCCGAAACTCCATGAGAAAAACACATTGACAGCAACGTGAGTCCGAAGCCTCAGCAAGAGGAAGGAGGCGCTCGGCCAGGCACCCAGGGACTGTGGGGACAGTGGCACTGGCAGGGAACACAGGCCGCAGAGAGTTTCAAGTCAACCAGCTGCGATTTTTGACGCTAATAATACTGACAGATGGGCCTGGGGTCTGGAAAGGCACCCGCTGCCCAGGCCCAGGTGTGGGCCCCCTGTGGGGGAGGGGCCGGAGTCCTACCTAGATTCCTACCCACTTCTGCCCGACTACCTGCACTACTCAGCTACGCCTGCCTTCCCGGCTCCCTCCCCACAGGACGCTGGACAGCTGCCGGCCCTGGGCACCGGTCACCCTGGCCCTCCACACGCTACACAAGGCCATAGGGACAGCTGGGCTGGAGCAGACGGTGCTCCCCACCCGGCTTCCGGGCGTCCTGCCTGAGCCTGAAGGGGTAGGACTCCACCCCCACCCAGCCTGGCTCCAGGACTAGAACCCCCACCCAGCTCTGCCTCCCTCTTTCCTCTATCTCTTTCTGTCTGGTTTTATTTTTGTCTGAAAATCAGAGTGTTTATGAATTAAGGCTGACAGGACCCTCAGGTCTCGTGAGCAGGGTCCCAGGGGCTTCCCACAGGTGTGAAGACGGGTCCCTCGGGTCAGTTGTGTCCCTGGGGGTGCTGGAGGGCGGACTGCATGGCGGCTGCTGAGGGCCTGGTCCAGGGCCCAGCCAGCAGTGGGCTGGGGCTGGTGGTCACCATGGAGACCTGGAGCATCTGTTCACCCTGCATCAGTCTCAGGAGGGCCCGCAGTCGGTCCAAGGACGACCGGGTGCCCCTCTGCCGGGCCAGCAGGCTCGTCTTCAGCTCCAGGCATTTCTGGGAGGGAGGGAGGGGGCCAGAGAGAAGGGTCTCAGAATTCAACTGTGCAGGTGCCCGGGGCGGCCATCCCTCAGCCCTGTCTCCCAGAGCCCCTCCCTCCCACGGCAGAGGCCAGAAAGAACCAGCCAGAGGGACTCACCAAACCCTGGCAGCAGTGGTGAAAAATGCAATTAAACAGCAGCCAAACCCATGGGAGAAGTTTGTTTTAAACTTGGGGGTTTGGGGCCAGCAGCCTGACTGGTGTGGCTCTGTGGAATGAGTGCAGGCCTGGGGACCAGAAGGTCGCCGATTTCATTCCCAGTCAGGGCACACGCCTGGGTTGCAGGCGAGGTCCCCAGTGGGAGGAGCACGAGGGACAACTACACATTGACGTTTCTTTCCCTCTCTCCTTCCTTTCCCCTCTCCCCTAAAGGTAAATACAAATCTTTAAAACAATGAATAATAAAATTTTGGCCAGAAATAGTGTGGCTCGTGCAGAAGCATGGGGACCTTCTGCTCACTGCCACTCGCTCCCTAACCGGCCACACTTCTCCTCCTGCCGCTGACTCAGCCACGGCAGCCGCAAGAAGCCTTTGCAGGCGGCCGGCCAGTGTTCCACTCTTCGTCCTGCAGGCTGCACTCCCGCCTTTTTCTAGCCTTTCTATACAGAGCTAAGGACAGACATATTGGGTTGAAGTTAACTTGTTGCTTGGGCCAATAGCGTAAAATACCTGAGATTGTCTGAAACTCTCAGGCAGGAACAAACAGAGAGCCTCGTCACGCTACATTTGAGAGTTTTGCCAGCCCTGGCTGGTATGGCTCAGTGGACTGAGCGTCAGCTTGTGAACCTGAATGTTCCAGTTCAATTACCAGTCAGGGCACGTGCTTGGGTTGTGGGCGAGGCCCCCACTAGGGGGCGCGAGAGAGACAGCTGCACATTGGTTTCTCTCCCTTCCTTCCCCTCTCTCAAAATAAATAAAATCTTTTTTTAAAGTTTCACAGGGTCTGGCACTGCTGGTACACTGTCACCACCGTGTCATCGGCAGCCCACAGAGGAGGAATCCTTATGGTTGAACTACAGAGAGGAGGCCGGTGCCGACACAGCCTGGCTGGGGTCACAGCTAAGAAGGAACAGGGCCACCAGCTCATATGCTCAATCACCCGACAGTGGCTCACTGAACGAGTCCCACAGCTGCACCCTCCGCCTGACTTGTGGAGGGTGCTGGCAAGTCTCCCTTCTCCTGGGGCCTCAGGAACCGGACAACTTTGCACCCACCCACACCTTGTGGTTCTAGGAGGCCCCCCTGCTCCGGCCCCCACGCACCTTCATGGCCGAGGCCAGGCGCCGGTCCCGCTCCTCCAGCTGCCGGCGCTCGCTCTGCAGCTCGGTGCCCCTCCGCAGCAGCTGCTGCTTCTCCTCTTCTTTGACTAGAAAGGGGGCCAGGCCCCAACAAGAAGCGCGGGTCAGCGGAGAGGTAGTCTGTGCCCTCCTGCCACACCCTCCTGCTGAGGCCAGTGGCCGGTGCCGGATGTACGGGGACTGGGATGCCACCCCCCATGGCCACTGCCCTGCAAGCGGGACCATCCCAGAGGCCTCTTCCAGAGTTTCTGGCCCAGGGCGGCCTCCGATGGGCCGGGAGGGAGCCCGGAGGCCTGGAGGCGGGGCTGGAGAGAAGGGCGGGCACCTTCCCGCTTCCTACCTGTCTTGTGGGTGACGTAGGACTGCACAATGGCCAGCATCCCCGTCCAGGGCACACCTTCGTCCTTCTTTAAGGCCTGGAGGACAGAGGAGAGATGAGCAAGCAGACAGGTGGGGACCTGCCACGCCGGCTGTGCGTGTGCACACGCGTGTGACCCTGGGAGAGGCTCTCAGAGCTCTCCGAGCCACAGGCTCCCCAGCTGTGACCAGGGTCGGGGCCCCCGGGAGGTTCCGGCTCAGAGGCTGCTAAGTGGGGGCAGGGCCCGCTTACCACCAGGGCCTCAAACAGTGGCTGCCACGAGCAGACTCTAATTCTTCTTGAACAATTGAATAAATAAATGTCTGTCTTGTCCCCACGCCCCGGGGACCTGAGAGCAGCCAGCGACAAATTGGGGGCCCAGGGAGGCCCCGCCATCACGCTGCGGTGGGAAGCCACCTCGCGCCCCCTGTGCACCCCTCAACGAGCTCCGACCCCCAGGCGGTGACAACACAGGGGCTGGCGGCCCCCACAGCCACACACAGCGCCCGTCTCAGAACCCGGATGACGGAACGCTCCAGTTGGCGGTTTCGGAGATAAAAGGAAACCCCCGTGACTTTACAGGAAGACGCCCTGTAGGAATTGGTGCGGCTGAAAGAGCGGGTGGCGCGCCCTCACCGCCCAGCCACAAACGAGCTCGCCGCTCGGACGCTTCTCCCGGTTTGTGTTCCACGTACAGCTTTTCTTAGCCGATGGCCAAACTATACAGCAGCTCTCGGGCCCGTTTGTTATTTTTATTTCTTTAAACTTAATTACATATAGTGAACATGTCCCAAAGAATTGCAAAATCTTCATAAAAGAGCATTATTTACTTATTATTTATTTTTAGAGAAAGGGAATGGGAAAGAGAAAGAGAGGGAGAGAAACATCAGTGTGGGGTTGCCTGTCACGTGCCCCCCACTGGGGACCTGGCCCGCCACCCAGGCATGTGCCCTGATGGGGAATCGAACTGGTGACCCTCTGGTTCACAGGCTGGCACTCAATCCACTGAGCTACACTTGCCAGGGCAAAACCACCGTTTTCAAAGATCGTCTGTCTTACTGAGTGCAAGCACCAGGATTTGTTTCATCACCTTGTACTGTTGGGGAGCTCACCTTCCCCTTTTATAAACGGGGGGGCTTCCTCGTGCACAGAGTTGCATGTGTATTTGGATTGTATCTTTACGCTACACTCTCACAAGCAAGATTCTGGGTTTCAAGGTGTGCCTTTTTTTTAAAATCCTACCAGAGGATTTGCTCATTGATTTTAGAGAGAGGGGAAGGGAGGGAGGGAGAAACATTGATGTGAGAGCCACACTGGTGGGCTGCCTCTTGGATGAGGACTGACTGGGGACCGAACCTGCAATCAAGGTACGTGCCCTGCCGGTGAATCGAACCTGTGACCTTCCCATTTAAGGGCCGGCACTCTGACCCAGTCTCTCCACAAGACACTGCCAAGTGCTAGAGTGGCCGGCTTGCTGCCTCCCCATGAGGAGGGCGTGTGGCGCTCTGGCTAACCCGAGAGCGTGTCGTTCCTGTCATCGCTGCCTTGGTGGCTGGTGCTGCTCGTCCACTCTGCCTGGGGGGGTCCTGGTGCTCAGAGGTGGGGTCCCTCGGGCGGCCCACACAGCCAGCGGTCTCCAGCCGGCACTGAGGGCCCTGACGGGGGTGCTTCTCCCACACAGGACGGTCCCCACAGCGGAGTCACTCGGGGTGCGAAAGCCTGTCCCTGCGGCCGGCCCCCTCTCACCCGACCCTGCCTCCACAGGGACTGCACCCCCAGGCCCCACTGGAGCCCGTACCTTCTGCTGGCACTTGGGGCACAGCCACACGCCCTTGGGTGGCGTCCTGAGGGGCGGGTCCAGGCAGCTGAGGTGGTAGGCCCCCGGGCAGGTGCCGCAGGGCTGCAGGTCGGCGCCACGCTTGCAGGCGGCGCAGTGCTCATCGTGGCCGGTCTCGTGCTGAGGGAGAAGGGCATCGGGAGGTGAGTGGCCTCCGTCCAGGCGGCGGCCACCCCACCTGCCTGTCACCCAGCCGCGTGCTCCAGCAGCTCTGGGCGGGAGGGGTGAGCCCCAACCTGACAGGAGGACTCCAGGGCACCCATAGGCACGTTCGCCAGTGTCGCCGAGTGTTAGCGACGGGCAGGGGGTCCTGCTGTGCTGCCTCTGTGGGCGCACCGCAGTCCAGCCTGGCGTCTCCATCACCCTGGGCGGGTGCCGCACTCCATCTCCACGCCTGGAACACGTGCTGACACCTGCCCCGTGGGCGTGGGGAGGCTCAACACACTAGGGCACACAGAGTACCACCGGAAAGGAACCCAGGGAGGGGTCGCCTTCCCCTTCCTCAGAGTGACCATCTAGAGTCATCCTCCTTGGGTTTGGCCTCCACTCACACACCTCCAGGGACGGGGAGCTCACTCCCTTCCAGGCCTTGGTGGGCAGCCCTGAGGGTGGGAGCCTCCTGTGGGGCGCACAGTCCGCATGGTCTCCCACCAACCGACAGAAACCCTGCCCCCTGCGTGTTACGCTGTTCCCCAGCCCCGTGTCTGTGTACCCCTCAGATCTGGGAGGGACCGAGGGCCCTCTTCCAGGATGACCCGAGCCACAGTGACAGGAGATTCCAAGGCTGTCTCTGAAGGAGGCCTCAGAGACCCTGTCCTCCTCACCTCTAGCTGCTGTTCAAGGGCACAGCGAAGGTGACCCGCTTGCCCAAGGTGATGCAGGGAGCTGGGGGTGGGGCCAGGGCGGCCTTGGGGTCTCCCGCCGGGGCCGGGCACGGAAGGGCCGTGGACCGGCGCTGCCGGGCCTCCCTCTGCCGGGTTTACGCCCCCACCTACTGTTTCCCAGCCGCGTGACCTTTACGGGCTGGACACTCTTAGAGTTAGATCTGACCTTGGTGAAGAGAAACATGGGATAAATTCTGAGTGGGGTCCTCAGTGAGGTCACCACCCGTCTGGGAAGCGGGGACGTGCACAGGCATGAGGGCCTGGGGCTCACAGGGTCACAGGAAGGTGGGTGTGTGGGGCAAGACCCTGCGGACCACCGAGCCTCACCCCTTCAGGGGTGGGCGGAGAGGAGCGGCTCTGCCCAGGACCACACAGTGAGGCCGGGCAGGGCCTGGAAGAGCCCGGCCGGCACCTGGGACCTCATGGCTCCCGGGGTCCCTGTGTCCTCAGCACCAGGCAGGGAGGCTGCAGTCTGCCCCCAGGGAAGGCCGGGCCGGCTGGGCAGAGGCCTGGGTGCAAAGCTCGGCACCATGGAGTCCCAAGGCCCTCCGCTCCCCTCCAGGATGGCAGGACACTGGGGCCCCTCTCCCTTGCCAGGAGTGGTCCTACCTGGACTGTGGAAAGCATGACCCACCCCAGGTGTGAAGAGGAGATACATACCTTCCAGCAGGGGTCCTCATTGGCTAGCACAGGGAAGAAGGGCGTAATACATGTTAGTGGGTGTTTGGGGAGAACCAATCAGGACTGGAGTCCACGGGGTCCAGTGTGACCCGGTTCTCACCAGGGCATGATGGGAGTATCACAGGCCCCGGTGACAGCAAGTTCTCACCCACGGTGTGGTGGCAGTGCAGGTCTCTGGCCTGGTCACGGCCGGGACCCACCATGGCCCAGGCCCATTGGGGCCAGAGTTCCCTCGGGACATGGCAGCAGTAAGCCAGGGCAGCGAACTGTTGCTCCAGGGAAAATAAGGGACGTATTTCCAACTCTCTCTTTGGCCGTAATCCCCTCTCACCCTAGTAAGCGGTGCCGGACCACACCTTTCAGCGATCAGACCGGTCTGTGACGGCACCGTGGAGTGGGAAGAACAGCCCTGTGTGCACGGCCCTCTCGGCTCCGTCTGCCCGCCCCCGTGCCACCTTCCCGCTGGGACACGCCAGTGCTGGCCGGGCTCACTCCAGCCGCCAGTAAACCGCGGCCCGAGGAGGCGGCGTGGCGGGCTAGCACCGGCAGAGCCCGGAGAAGAGGATGGCGGTCGTTTCCTGCCCTGAAGACCGCCCACATTTCCCTCGCTGCGAATAACAGGCCCCCTCCTGCTAATTGGAGGACGTTGTACTACATGCAGATGCTGTGTTATCCTGGGCGTTGGTGCCTCGGCCCGGCGGCCCTGCAGAGGGCAGGGCTGGCAGAGAGGAGCGGGGCCCCTGCATCCCGGGTGAGGGCCTTGACCCGGGTCCTAGCACGCCAGTGCGGGGTGCCCGGCGTGCACCCTGTTACCCAGAAGGACCCTGAGGCCCCGGGGGAAGGTCTGGCCCAGGCAGCACAGCTCTGACTGTGCAGGGAGTCGGAGGCTGGGCCGAGGGCCCCGGATCCCCTCACAGCCCAGGGTGGGCCCGGGGGATGCGCCAAGAGCCACCAGCCCAGCCAGCTGTGCAGGGGGGGCGCGGGGGGGGGCAGGGGAGGAGGTGCTCTCCAGGGCTCCTCCTGGCACACTGCCCTCACCCTGACCCAGCTCAGCCCTGGGTGGGCGGACCCCGCCACAGTGGCGTTTGGCACCACGGGACCGGGCTCCGCTCGGGGCCACAGCCGTGGTGGAATGGGGGTGGGGGGCAGCCTGAGCCCTGGGCGTGTGCATGACCCTCGTCCCCGCTCCTGTTCAGAGCTTCGGTGTCTGCCCCTGCCACGAGTGGGCGCCCTACCCCCCGCCTCCTCCCTGAAGCAGAGGGAGGCTGAGGAGGCCAGGTATGGAAGGCCCGTAGCTGTGCAGCGCTGCCCACCAGGAAGTGACCAGGCCGCTGCCATGGACAGGTGGGCCCCCGAAGCCCCCGCCCCGGAGCGGCCCCCGCGGGGCGGCTTACCTCGCGCTGCGGGAAACAGGGGGCTGTTGAGATAGTTGGACGCCAGCCGCTTCCTCTGCAGGACAAAGAATGAGACCAAACCACCCGTCACGCGGACCCTCCTCAGGCCACAGCCCCTGCCCAGCACAGGCTCCGCCCCCCCAAACTCTGGGCTCTGGCTGGACACCCACGGCCAGAGGCAGAAACAGGGCCAGACAGAGGGGACGCAGGGCAGGAGGAGGCGGGGGCCGGGGTGGGTCACGAAGGCCCCGCCCCTCAGCCGGGGGAGTCCTGTGGGAACACTGGGCTGGGGGGGCCGCTCAGGAGGGACAGGCTAAGACCCCCACGCTGGGGCAAATCAGTAACAGGGCTGACACCTGCCCTCCCCCCATCTGGCTCCTGTATCTTCTTTCCCAGCTGGCTCTGGAGTCGGGTGGGGAAACGAGGGGTGCTACTAACTGGCTCCATGAACCCCACTTCTGCCACGTGGCCCAGGGAGCTCGGTGCCAGGCAGGGTATGGTCCTCGAGCCCAAGCATCACGGGCAGACAGAAGTTCCTGGCACACTCCAGAAAGGCAGCCCCACCCGCAGGCCACACTGGTGGCTTTGGCTGGGGCGGTTCAGAGAGACTGTCCTAGAGCTCTGTGTTCGGCTTGAAACCTGTGTCTCTGGGTACAACTGGGCTGCGGTCAAGGCCGTGGGGGCCCCATGGAAGGGCTGCTCCTGAGGTTACTACGAGGCCAAGGTTCAAGGGCACAGGGCTGTGTTGGCTCCTGATTTGCTCACCAGGTCACCTCCGGCCCCAGCTGGACTCCAGAGACCAGAGCAGAGGCAGAATCATCAGCGACCACGGCAAAGGGGGCGGGGACCTTATCCAACAGAGAACTTGCCATCACCCCCAGATACAGAGCGAGGAACAACTCGGTGACATTCTTACAAAGGGGACACAGGCCAGGGCTGCATGCCCTCCCAGCGCAGCTCCCATTCACAGGCTGCGGATTAGGGGACAGCCGGCCCCGGCTGGCCGGTGCCCGGGGAGGTGAGCGTGGCCGCTCCCGGACGCTCCGCAGGGCCCTGCAGAGCCTTGCTGGCGACTGGCAGTGACGGCCAAGTCTGGAATGCACAGTCGCTGGCCTCTGAGAACATCATCCTGCTTCAGATGGCTGTCCTCCGCTTTGGGCTTTAAGGCCCTAAAAATTTGTTTCTAGTCTAGGGGACAATTCCTGGGTGCCACTCGGCACTGCCTGTGACAGGGAGACAGGCCTGGTAATTGGGGGAAGGATCAGGACGCCCATGTACCCTGCAGCTTGGCCACGCCCAGCGCAGCCCACAACAGGGCGACGGTTGGCATTCTGACCGCCTGCCTCGGTCTGTCAGCTGATTTTGACGTCAGGGGTGACGGAGGGCATGACTTATGGTCACCGCTCAGCTCCCATGAGGAAGGGCGGCTAAGGATGGCCAGCCGTGCCCCCCCCACCCCCGCCAGCCTCCCCACCCCTGTGCAGCCACAGGCTCACCTCCGTCTCCAGGAGGCCGCTGTAGGCGGGGTTGGCTGTGCTTCTCCTCTTGCGCTCCTGGCGTTTGCTCTGGATCTCTGCAAGGCACACGCAGCAGCCGCTGGCTCGCTCCTGCCCTGGGAGGCCTGCAAGCCTCCTTCTCAAGCCCAGCCACCACCGTCCCCTCCTGCCCCACAGGCTCTGTCTGCACAGCATCCACGCCCACCGCGGCCCGGAGCAGGTGAGGTCAACAGGCCCGAGGCCTCCGAGGCGGGACAGGTGTGCTGGGCTCAGGTTGGAGGGCGGGTCGGCCGGCGGGTGACTGCTTGGAATCCAAGTGCCCACTCTCAGCTCCCTGTCCCCCTGGGCCTAGCCTCTCGTGGGTCCCTCAGGATGACAAGTGCCCAGCCTCAGAGTGAGGCCCAGGGCTGCTGGGGTACTGGGGTCCCCGAAACCCCAGACAGGAATTCACCAAGAGGACTGGTGTGGCGTGTGCCTCCACAGTGACAGTGACCGAGTATCTCCCCCCAACCCCGTCTCACTCTCCCCCTTCAGCTCCAACTGCCAGGGGAGCTTCTGTGTGTGGCCAGGCTGACATCAAATCCCAACCCTGCCTCGGCCCTCACCGTCCTTTTGCCCCCTCTCGATGTCACCCGTGCGTGCCCTGTGGCACCTTGGGCCTTCTGTGGAGGGGAGGCAGGGCTCCAGCGACCACAGGGTCCCTCCTCCGAGACAAGGAAGCGCCACACGGGGTTTTGTGCAGACTGCCAGAGGGCGGAGGGTCTGCCTCGGGGACGACCGCCGGCTGGTGACCAGGCGGGCCTCCCAGGAGCCCACCGCTCCCATCCAAGGCCCGCAGACCGCCCGCCCCAGCCTGGCCCACGCTGTGGGGACCTTACCTTCCAAGTGCTCCGTGGTGACCAGGCCCAGCGCTACCATGAAGGCGATTTTCTGCGGGAAGGATGTGGAGGAGCGTGAGCTCGGGGCACACTCGCTGCAAGCGTGCCCCAAGCACCTGCTTCCCCGGCTGCCTTACCCACTCAGGGTTCCCTTGGTTTTAGTCTCGGGGCCTTTCCTGGCCCCAGGGCCCCACCCAAGGTCCCACACTGCGAGTCCTCACGCCGCCTCAGCATCCCTGGGGGCTGAGTTTCTCAGAATTTCCTGGTGTGTTCGACCTTGGCAGTGGAGGGGAGGGTTGGGTGGGGATCCTGGAAGGCGCCCCTCTCACGGGGTTTGTCTGGTGTTTTTCTCAGGGTCACGGTGGGGTCGTGCGTTTGGGGAGGACACGGCTGGCAAGCGCCCTCTCATCGCATCCTGTTGGGCACATGCTGTCCAGGTGACCACCCACCGTGACCCTGACCTTGAGTTTCCCTCCATGGCGTCTCGGAGAGGAAGTCACTGTGCACAGCCCACACTGACAGAGTTGGGGCCACGGGCACTTTCCGTGTGTGTGTGTGTTAGGATTTATTGCTATTTTCCCGCGTGGTGTTTGGATTTTTGAACCTGGGCCAGAGGCTCTGAGGTCATAGAGCGAGTCCACTGTGTTTCTCTTCACTCCCTCCAGCTCACGTTCCACATTCAGATCTCTGACCCACTGGGATTCACCCGGGAATCACAGACTGACCGAGCCAGCTTTCTGGGGTGACGCTGAAATCCTTCGTTCACTTCGGGCACCGCGACAACTTCACGCGCCTCGAGTCTTCAGGGTTCTTCTGCCCTTCAGGGACTTTATACTTTCAAGCAGGCGCTGAAGTTTGTACTGCGGTTCCTCCGAGGCGCCTTCTTGCCGCTCTCCTCCCAGGTGTCGTCCACGCGGCTCCTCCCAGGGGCCAGGCCACGTGGCGTCTACACGTCAGTGCCCCGCCCGCTGCCCCGCCCACTGCCCCACCCGCTGCCACGCCTCCGCCTCCTACGAGCCGTGGGAGGTTCCCATCGATCCTCTGGGGTTTCCTACACTTTCACACTGCGACTGTCGACCCTCCTTCCGAATTTCTACTTCTGCGCTGTTAAAAAGGCTCCTCCTCACGTTGTCGGCTGTGAGTGATGTTCTTTGGTTCCTGCAAAGCCCCAACTACAACACCGGAGCCCATCTTCTGACAGCTCAGTCCGCCCCCCCCCCACTTTGCTCAGCTGGGCATTTGATGAGTCATTGGAGCAGGTGACATTTACACTGTCCCAGCGTCCTCATCCCGCCTCAGGCTTACTCTGCAGTGAATCACGGGGGTGCCTGCCTTCGTCCGGGTGCCAGCGTGGCCCCAGTGGGCTCGTGGGCGACTGGGCTGGGCCTGCGGTGACTTCCCATCCACGGCTCCGGGGAGTCCATCTCCCGAGCTCCTGGCAGATTTAAAACTTTCCTGTGGCCTTTCACCTGGAAGGCCAGCTTGGCTGGATCGAAGTCCCTGGCTCCTTCTGTCCTCAGGATCTTGCCATGGTGGCCTGGCTGCGTTCTCAAGTTCAATGCTGCCCTGTGGACAGGGCAGAAGGCGGTCTGATCCTCCTCCCTCCAAAGTCACTGGATCATTTCTGCCTGGAGGGCCCTGTGCTTCTGTTACAAGTCAGTGACTTTCTGGGTTGTGTCTCCCGGTTGACTGGTCATTTCCGCTGGTGCTCAGTATGTTCCTTCAGTACGTAAATTCAAGTCCTCTCGACTTCAGTAAACTTTTCTTGAATTATACTTAAAAAACACCAAAGCATCACCACACCAAGGAGAGTGGGCCATACAATTAAACCCTGTAAGATACGTGCTCAGCTGAATGCAAGACAAATGCAATGACAAAGCGGCCACAGAGCAGCCACAGTGGGAAGTCTGGGGTCCAGCAGCTTCTGCCGATGACACTGATCGGGCTGCAGCGAGGTGCCTCCTGGCTTCAGTGTCACTGCTGGGCCCTGTGGCTGGGCCGATGGCAGCAGGGCCCCCAGGAACCCCCAGGACTGGAGACTGGGATGGGCGGGCACCGGGACCAAGAGGCCCGCGCTCCTGCCTCCTGGTTCCCCGCTCAGGAGCTCACGCTCACCTGAGGACAGGTCACAAGTAGGTCCCAGCAGCCGCTGCCGCCCTGTCACAGGCTACCGCACACTGGGGGATCCTGGGAGTTTGTATTCCTTGTGCTCCGTCATCCTGGCATCCTCGCCGGCCTCAGCTTACCTGCCTGTTGTACCTTCTTCGCTCGCCTTTTGGGTCACTTTCTAATATCTGAAAACACAGTCTTTTTTGTTCCGTGGACTTTGCTCACTTCTGCCTCCTTGTTTTTCTCAGTGTGTATGGTACGCTCTGCTCATCCAGTTACACACTTACTTCTGTGTTAGTTCTAAGTGACCAGCTCAAGTTTCGTGGTCTCCTGTACTCTGGCCACTAGTGCGGCCGCCTCTCCCATAAGCCCTTGCGCTTCGCTTGTCGTCTTCTCAGTGGTGGTTCACTCGTATTTTCAGCGGGTCACCCTCCACTTCTACTTCCTTTCCTGTCTTCTTAAAGAAATAGTCCCACATTCGCCTCCTTTTCCTCTGCTGATTTGGAAATTATAGCTGGCATTTTATTATTTTTAGTGATTAGCCTAGATGTTTAAGAGCATGTTTTTCTTAAGACTTTATTTACTTACTTTTAGAGAGACAGGAAGGAAGGGAGAGAGAGAGAGGGAGAGGAACATCCATGTCGGAGAAATGCACTGATCGGTTGCCTCTCACATGCCCCCTACTGGGGACCTTGCCAGCAACCCAGGCATGTTCCCTGGCTGGGAATCGAACCCACGACCTTCCAGTTCCAGGGTGGGTGCTCAACCCACTGAAACACACCCTCCAGGGCGCATGTTTTAACCACATGCTTTCCTAACAAAGTCTCGGGTTACTGAATATTCCTACCTTTCCCCAACACAACACTAACCTTAGCGGGCTCTAGCTTCCTCCAAACACCACCAACTGACTCGTTACTGTCGCCCAGAACTTTCCTTCTACCTGCTCTGAAAAATAAGGCTGGGGACTGCACAGGCTAGGCGTACGAACAGCCGCCCCCACGAACGACGGCCGAGCCGGCGATGGCTGTGCCGGCTGCGGCTTCTCAGGCCCGCTTCCTGGCGCCCTGTCAAAACCCAGTTCTCTTAATGGACAGTTTGCAGGCGACAGAAATCTCAGTCTTCCTACGTCTAAAATGTCTCTACTTCACCCTGGCTTCACCCTGGAAACATGACTTCACCGGCCGGGAACCACGAGTGGGTGGTTACCCCCTCTCGGCAGTTTGTAGGCGCTGCTCTGCTATCTCTGGCCGCTGCTGGGAGCCCACGGCACGCCTGTCGCCCCCTGGGGGTGACCGGCGGCTCTGCCCTGGCAGTTTTCATGGCCCCTCCTTTTTCTCTCTGGACACGGACGTCTAGCCTTCCAGACGTATCCTCAGTCATGGGCCCCATAGATGGGAGGACTTTCCAGGTAAAGACTCCCACCGATGCTCCTTAACCCTAGAACACTTTTTAGCTCCGTTCTTCCATCTCTGTTCCTTCACCTGCCCTCCATCTGTTCCCCGTGAGGTGAGGGCTGAGGCTCCTCCACCCTCCTGTTTCTTACCTGCTTTTATATGCAAACTACTTTTGAACTTGGCCTCTCTGTGCAGGACCCTTGGTGCCAATTCCAAAGCACTCACTACCTTGTTCACCTGTGTAGTGAGGTTTTTTTCATTTCCACTTACCACCGTGTTTTTCACTGGCAGATTTTCAAATAATTTTTATATTCCTGTTCTTGTTTTATATTCATGATCTTTGGCTTCATTATTCCTCGTGGATATTATTCCCTTTTCTAAACTTTGAGGATCCTGAACATCCTTATTTAAAAAGTCGCTGTGAGAGTACTCCATGAAATTAGCTTCACCTGGAATAAATCCCGGTTTCAAGCGCCGATTCTTACTGACCATCATTTCTAGCATTAGATCTCTTCGTGTGTTTCAGGGTTCTGTCTACAGACTCATTCTGGGCACCACGTTTCTTCCTGCTTATTTTTTTCACATTTCCTCCTCCTGCTTAACCTTCCCTTACAACAAGTTTGCAGTTGCCTCACCCCCCCCCCCCCCCCCCCCCCGGTGCAGCTGTGGCCCCAGGCGCAGACTGGCTCCCAAAGCCCAGACAGCTTTGGGGACCCACTGTCCACGTGCGCTGCCCCTCCCGGTCCCCCCGCCCGACTGCACGCCTGAGGCCCGCATCGGTCCTGCGCCCTGCTGCTGTTCTGGACACGCCTTTGTCCTGCCTGCGTTCCCCCTGCTGCTACTGGGGGTCTGCAGCAGACGGGCCCCCCGAGAGTCACCCAATGGGGTGTGCTTTGGGGGATTCCAAGAAGGGGGTGAGTTGGTTATTTCTGAATTTTGGAAAGCTCCTTAGCTGCAGAGTGAACAGACAGGGAGGGCCCCATCTAGGGACAGGGAGACCAGCAACCAGGGACAGACGAGGCAGGAATGGGGTGCTGGCAACAGGGATGCGCAGAGGGAGGGAGCGACTGTGTGCACAGGTCTAGCCCGGAGAGGCGGCGGGCCGGGGGCCGCAGACAGGCCTGTACAGGGCTGGAGCCCCCACTCCGGCCGCCCTCTGCAGGACGCACGGTAGTCTGAGGGAGGCCAGCCCGGCCAGGTGCCACCGAGGCCAGGATAATGGGAGGCATGGAGAAGGCCACAGCTGCCCCGAAGAAGCCCGGGCCCTGGGACAGGAAGGAGCAGACAGAGGCCAGGTCAGGGGCCAGCCTCTGCGGGCCTCGCTGACCAAATGGACATGGAGCTCCCTGGCCCAGCTCCGGGGCAGAGCTGCCGGGAGGACGTGGGGAGAAGGAGCAGAAGCATGTGAGCTCTGAAGCCTCAGCTGTGATTTGGGGTGACTGCCCCATGTCCTTGCCATGCCTCAGGCGACTGTCCCTTCCTGTGCCCAAGCTTCAGCTGCCTGTCCCTGTCACAGGGCGGCCGTGAGGCTCGGCAGACGCCCAGTACGTGGATGCACGTCACAAACCACAGAGCGTCAGACCTGGGCAGCCCTGCCACGGACCCCGGTCCGTCCTGCCACCATCCTGCCACTGCTTTCGCACAGTGGGAAGCCCTGGGCACACTCGAGCCCGAGCTGAGGTGACCTGAGAATGACGGGGTCCGACAGTGGCCAGACCTGTGCAGCCCTGACCGTCTACGCCAAGCGCTTTCTCTGGGGCCCATTCTCTATTTATTTCCAGCCTGGTCCTTTGCCCTGGGTCCTCACGAAAGCGCAACCCATCGCCAAGGCAACCAGGAGGCGCCGTGGGACTGCAGGGAGACCGGAGACAGGGCTCTGGTCCCAGGTTCCCGGGACAACCAGGGTCCAGGCTTTTGGCTGCTCTGAGGCTGGGGTGCACACACCCCGTGGCAGGGGACACGACCCCACCCCGTGCGTGGCTGTGTGGGGTCAACGGACTAGCCAGGCACACATGGGTCCCGCATGTGCTGGGTGCAGCCTGGGTGTGTGAGGACGGGCCTGGGCCCCTGGGTGCGGTGTTGTGTAGGGTCGCGTGGGGTGTGCCCTTCAGGAGTGAGTGACACAATCTCGGCCATGGAAAACGTGTCCCGCCCGATGCCCCAGCTCCCAACGGGCTCCTGTGACAATGTTTTGGAGCTGCTGCTGCTGCTGCTCTGGCCTTACACGCGCTTAACCTGGACTGTTCACGAAGGGGTCTGAAGGTCACCGCTACTGCTCCGAGTCCTCTTTTAAGAAAAACTTCCAACCCTGGCTGGTGTGGCTCAGCGGGTTGGGCGTCGTCCTGCAAACGGAAAGGTTGCCGGTTTGATCCCAGCTCAGGACGTGGGCCTGGGGTACGGGCCGGGTCCCCCCCGCTGGGGGCAGGCAAGAGCCCACTGACCGATGTCTCTCCCCCTCTCTTTCTCCCTCTCTTCCATTCTCTCTAAAATAAGTACATAAAATCTTCAAAAAAATAAAAATAAACTTTGATGAGGACTTTTACACCAAGGTACACTGTAAGTTCTATTTACGCCATTACACATAGTGATACTAATTATGCAGTTGCATGTAATTATACTAATTGCATAAATGCACGGTAATTGGTGAGGATAACAGAGAACAAAGACTCCACCCAGAAAGCCCTCCGGAAGGTTAAGGGTGTGACAAGACCCCACAGGGGACAGAGGGGTGCTCATGGGGGCCGTGGGCTTTGAGCCAGACCCAGGCCTCACCGTACACACAGTAGGTGCTCACACACTGCCATGGAACTGACTATCTTAAGACAAAATTGTGCCTGGGGCCACTGCAGGCACGTGGCTGCCTGCCAGCCTTGGGGAGGGGTGACCCCGTGAACCCTGACAGGCTTCTCGGGCATGCAGAGGACAACCACCAAGTCACTGCGCCGCTCAGAGCTGTCCCTCGGCTCCCGACCCTCAATGGGTGGGTCCCACCGGGCAGCCGACGGTGTGACATTCGCTCGCACAGACCGGCTGACCGGCTTCCACGTGCGGGGGTCCCTTCCCGCCTGCAGGTAGCTGCCCCCACCACACCGCCGCTCCTGCCCCCTTCCCTGCCCCACCGAGCCCTGCCCCCGGGTCTCCCGGAGCTCCGAATCTGCCCCTGTGTGGGGACGCCTGCGTCTGCTACTCCACGTCCTCGTGGCCGTGCCCATCTGCCTCAGCAGGGAGCTTCCCTGGGGCCAGGACCATGTCTGTCCCTCTCAGTGTCCCCACGCTCGGCAGGAAGCCTGGCTCAGACGTGCTCGACAAGTAGCTGACTGCACAAAAGGCAACTTTTTGTTGATGAAAAGCACAAAAGCTTCCGAAGCAGCCTTGTCCCAGGACCGAGGGCCCGAGGACCAGTGTGAACGGCAGGGACAGGTGGGCCTCGGCCGGGCTACAGGGGGTGGCTAACTGCCCACAGCGCCCGGGCACTGCCTTCTGCCATGTCACAGACAGGACGAGGGTCCGCCTGCCTGGTGCACCCCGAGAACCAGGCAGCTCCAGGACACACACCGGGCGTCCTGGCTGCAGAGCCGTTGCCAGGCACCAAGCCCACCACCTCTCAATGGCCAGTCTGCACACGGAAGTGGCGGGGACCGGGGCCTATGGGTGGGTCTCCACTCCAAGTGCTCGCTGCACGGGGGCTGTGCCTGCACTTGCCAGCCGACTCCACTTGAGGCCTGTCCCCAGACCTGCACACGGCCCTGGGACTGCGGCTTTCCTACCTCAGGGTTCTCCTGGCTCAGGGGCTGGTCCTCCTTCTTTTTGGCGGCCTGCGCTCCCTGAGACGGCTCCTGCGTGGGCGACCTCGAACCCGCCGTGCCCTCGGGATGTGGCTGCACTTGAGGCTGGATGAGGATGACCTGGAAGATGTGGAGAGGGGTAAAGGGGGGCAGGGGCGGGCGCAGGGAGAGGGGGCGGGAGCCAGGAGGGTCTAGGGTGGGCAGGCGTCACAGAGCCTGGGTGAGGCCAGGGGGCAACTCCCGAGGAGCAGGTCCTCAGTGGTGGGGCCCCAGGGGCACGAGGAGGCTTGCTCTGAGCTCTCCTGTCCACAGTGAGGGCTCATTCTCCAACAGCCCTTCCCTGAGAGGGCGGTCTGCCCAAGAGACTGGCCTAGGTCCAACCCTGTGCTGCCGTTTTCCCACCATGGGGGTGCAGGGAGGTCACTCTGCCTCCCTCCCCAGCTTCTCTGCAACCCCTCCCCCAGGAGGCTGTCAGCTTCTGGGCAGCAGGGACAAGAGAGGTTAGTTTCTTTATCCCAGCTCAAATGCAGGTAAACTGAGGCTGAGGGGGAGCAGAGGGGCTGGGACACTTCCCTGGCTGTCTGTCCCAGCTGCATTACCTGGCCACCCTCTCCCCCGCTGCCCCTCGGCCCCGGGCTACTGGTTTGGAGGTGCTTGCACTTGGCTGGGGGTGGGGGTTCAGGTAAGAATATCAGTTTCTCTCCCTCTGAGGAGCCCTGTGGAGCCCGGGGGGGGGCGGGGAAGGAGGAGGTGGGCTCCAGACCCACACAGAACCACCCAGGGCAGCTCCACTTGGGCCAGTCCTCCTCAGGGTTCAGGGTCACCACTGGCTTTGACCGCAGGGTCAGAGGCGGTGGGAAAGCCTGGAACAGAATTCTTGCAGCCTGGCCTCGGCCCGGCCAGATTCTCTTCTGCCTGTGGCTAGGCTGTTTCGCTGATGCATTTATTTTTGGACAAGGAACTGGGAAAGAATTGTTATCTTTCATGAGTCCGGGAAAAGGATTTCCCTGAGCCTGAGCCCAGAATGACTTGAACTTGTACCCCCCACCCGCCCCCAGACCGTGTGGGGACTGTCGTGGGAATCCGTGAATCCCGTGCACGCAGGGAAGGTGCATCATGGTTTTTTTTTTTCTGGCTTAAGGGAAGTCTCTTTGCTCTTTGTACCAGCTGTAAAACCCCAGAACGCTCTGGGGGGGGACAAGGCCCCTTTTGATTATCCCCATAGGGAGAAAAGCAGTAAGGTCCCCAGCAGAAAAAAGGGCAAAGGACATCCTGAAACAAATCACACAGAAGGAGCCAGAATTCTCGAAAAGTACAGGGAAAACATTCAAGCTTAATAATCACCTAACTGTTCGACTTGCACCAGCGAGTGCCTGTTTGCCCTGATTAAACGGTGAGAAGTGAGGGGCGAGGCTGCAGCGACACAGGCACATGCCTGCCACGCAGCCCCCGTGCACCAGGCGCTGTCGGGGCGCACAGCTGCTCTCGGTCCCCCGACGTCTGACCAGAGCCCTCTGGTCACAGCTCCCTGGCCTTCCCACCTACCCAGGGGCGGGGCCGAGGCGCAGGGGCTGGGAATCCTAACACTCCTGAGATTCCATGTGCAATGACTTCGGGGGCAGGAAAGGGGAGAGGAAGGGACCCTGGCCACAAACAGCAGGGGGCAGCCTGGCGGACCCCAAACTGGGAACAGAAAAAGAGGCCAAAGAGAAAATGGCGCCTTCTACGCAGCCCCAAAGGCCTCCAAAAGCACAGAGAGAAGGAGTTCAGAGGGGATCGGGAAAACAGTCTCGGTTTTAGTTTTAAAACTTGGCAACAAATCCGAGGTTTTTCCACTCAGACATCAGGTCCGAAAAAGTCCCGGCTCCCTAGCTGCGCAGCAGAGAGCTGTCTCCGGCGCCCGCCACCTGCCTCAGTGTTACTTACTCGGGCAAATGAAGTGATTCAGTCACTGGCCAGGGCTCTCGTCTGGCTGGAGTGCGTCCACTCAGCCACACATCCTTCCAATCCCACGGCCAAGAGCGGCACCCTCCCCGCTTCCTGCACCCGCCACTCACCGGACCCCTGGCTCCTTCCTGCCCCGCCCACCCATGGGGCCCCTGATCACTTCTCCACATCCAGCCACTCCTGCCCAGGCCTCCGCCAGCTGGCCCCTCTTGGACAGTGGCCGCAGCGTGGGTGGGCACGCCCCGGCCTGCCCGTGGGCACATCCTCACCTTGCTGTCGGCACTGATGAGGAGGGGCTGGACTTTGACGCTGTCACCGACCGTGGGCACAGTGTTGCTGGGGGCGATGGTGGCGGCATGGCTGGGAGCGGTGGAGACGAGGGCATAGGCCACGCCGGCGCTGCTCAGAGGAGAGGCGATGGCGGCTGGCTCGGCCAGGGCCTGCGGCTGGCTGCCGAGCGTCGGCACATGGCTCACGGTGTTGTTGGCAGTGGGGAGAGCTGGGCTGGGGTTCTTGACGCGGACCACGGCGGCCTTCTGCAACGTGGGAGGCTGCTTGGGTGGCCGGTCCCGGCCTGGGGTGACGGGGAGGCTGTCTGGAATCAGAGTCTTTGGCCTAACCTGGGGGAGGGACAGCTGCATGGTCAGGCGGACACATGGCAGGCGAGGACAGGCACAGCGAACAGGCAGCCCTGGGCAGATCCAGGGCGCACGGGCATAGCACAGCACCGACAGACCTGGCTTGGAGACTGTCCACGTCAGAGGTGAGGGGACAAGAGCAGAGAGGCCAGGGGCCCAGGAGGAGCCTCTCTGGGCCCAAGTCCCTCCCAGCTCAAGGCAGGCACAATGGTGCAGACCAGGGCAGGAGGCTGGGGGAGCAGACGGACCAGCTGGAGGCACAGGCCACAGCACCACCCTGTCTGCATCGGCTGCAAAGCAGCAAGGCTCCCTCTGACACCACACAGGGACTGTGGTCTCTGCCCCCAAAGGGGACCAGCAGACAATGACCCCTCTGTGACCTCCAGCTCATGCCAAGGGAGGGCTGTTCTGTGCCCTGCCAGCTCACCGGCCTGCCGGGTTTGCCACGGGCTCTGGTCTGCACCGCTGGGTACTACAACCTGACCCAGACCTGAACGTGGGCAGGCAGCCCCCAGACCGAGCGTCAGCTCAGCCAGGGGCTGTGGGTTGGGCTCAAACGTGGGGTGAGGGAAAGGGTCAGAGGGCAGTGCAGAGGCTGCCAGCAAGTGACTGTGAAGATAGCATATTGTGAAGACTGCATGTGTGTGCACACATGTGTGCGCCCAGCTCAGTGCCCCCCAAAACCTTAGTGCTGAGGGGGCCAGGGTTAGAGACCACGGGGATGGACAGACAGACAGCCCGGGCCACCCTCGGGCTGCTTACCTGAGGTAGCACTGCCGCTCCTTGCCCGGCCAACCTCTGCAAGGAGCTGACCTGAGGACCCGCGACAGGCACTGCGGTGATGGATCCCAAAGCCTGGAAGACAGGGGGCGCTGCTGAGACGGGCTGTGGGGCGCGCACGCGCTCTCCGGCCGGCTGCGCAGGGCCAGGGTGTGCCGACGGCGCGCTCCGCTCTCTCCGCCCTTCCTTACCAGGTCTTAGGCACGAGGAACAGACACTCGGGTGAGAAATCTCGGAAACCAGAGGACAGAGAACGGCGGCGCCGCAGGCGGCCACCCTGGGGCGCACGTTAGCCTCCCATGGGTAACGACGTCACACAGTGGTACGCAGGAGTCTGCCACCTGTTTCGCTACGTCACTCCAGGGAGGGCAGGATTTTCCGATGTTGCCATAACCCTCATGAGTCGCTCCCGCGGCTGCGGAGTCTTTCATTCGGCAGATTCGCTGGCGCTTCCTCCCCAGGCCCTCCTCTCAGAAACGTGGGTGCTAGCCCACCCTTTCCCGATGTACACACCGTGCGTCTGCATGGAGAGAGCCGTCCCCACACCCCAAACGCTCCCAGGGGACAGTGTGTGCAGACAGACAGGGTTTCCCGGTGGGGTTAAGAAGGGTGGGAGTATTTTTGGCCCTCGATACACGTCCCCACTCTGCCCCTCAGGTGGGCAGTGTCCAGGGCACACCCCGACACACCCCGACCCCCGGCGCCCCAGTGCAGGGCTCTCTCTCACGCTGACGCCGCACTGCCGGCAGGGGGATGGTTAAGGTGGGGAGACGGGGGAAGGCAGCCTCTCAGGGACTCCGGGCCCACATGCACATCGCTGTGTTCGGGTGCCTGCTTTTGTGGGGATCACCCCATCCACAGCTGACGAAGGGGCAGTCGTGTTCACCACGCACGTCCCCCACCAGCCTCCCAGATGGGGGCAGGCACCCCTCACTCAGAGCCTGGTGACTAGAGACCCTTGAGGATCTCTCTTGAACTGAGATGCAAAAATTCTTACTGAAGTGTTAGCAAGACTTCAGTAAGAAGTCTTCAATCCCAACAATAATAAAAAGGATAATACAACATGAGCAAGTTGCATTTACCACAGGAACACAAGGCTGCATCACCATTTGAATATCAGGTAGGGAACCCTCGTCCCACCACGATATAGTTCTCTCAATAGACACAGAAAAGCACCGAGCAAAATTCAACATCTATTCAAGACAAGAGTGGTCAGCAAACTAGGAATGAAAAGCAACTTCCTTAACCTGATAAAAAGTCACCTACAGAAACCAATAGCTGGCACCACGCACAACGAGGAAAGGCTGAAGGCTCCCCGCTGAGATCAGGAAAGGGCGGGGATGTTCTCTCTCCCACTCCTATTCACACCCCACTGGACTGGAAGTCCGGCCAATGCAATCAGGCAAGAAAAAGAAATAAAATGCCTCCAGATCAGAAAGAAGAGAGAAAACTGCCTTCACTTGCAGACGGCAATATTGGCTACATAAAAAAAATCTTACAGAATCTGCAAAAGAAGCTCTTGGAACCATAAATGAGCTTATTAGCATGGTCGCAAGAGACAAGATTAATATACAACAAAAACTGTATTTCTATGAACTAGAAGAAAATCCAGAAAATTTAAAAAAGTTTGGACCCCACTTGCAGGAGTTTTGAGAAGGGAGCGGTACTTGGAGGAAGATGCGCCAATGACTGTGAGTGACCCGCACACCCTAAACCTCCAGATGCCGCTGAGAGAAACAGTTAGAGCCCCGTGTACAGGGGGAGGCACACACTGTCACCATGGACGAGGAGGCTCAGTATTGTGAAGACATCAGTGTTCCTAAATTGATCCACATATTCAATTACAACCTCAATCAAAATCTCAGAAGACTTTTTTTGGGGGGGTAAAAATTGACAAGATGATTTTAAAAATCAGATGGAAATGCAAAGGACCAGAGCAGCCAAGACAACCCCGGATCAAACAGAACGTCACCAAGCACGGTGAAGGACTCAACCGAGGTCCCACCGGAACGCCGCAGCAGCCGAGAGCACACGGTGTGGGCGCGTGCCGCACACACATCGACGGACCCAGAGCCGGAAAGTGGACCTGCACGTACACGACCAGCCGATTCTCGGCAGGGGCAATTCACTCAGTGCAGAGGAGACAAACTGTTTCACAAATGGCGCTCAAACACGTGGACACTTACATGTTGAAAACAAATAGGCACCGAGACCAAAAAAAAGGCCCAAATGAAAGAACAGATCAAAGCTCCAGAAAAAATACAACTAAGCAACAAGCAAATGGCCAATCTATCAGATGCACAGTTAACAGAAAACACTGGTAATCAGAATGCTCACAGGATTGGTTGAATATGGTTGCAAAGTAGAGGAAAAAAATGAAGGTTACGCTAAGTGAGATAAAGGAAAATGTACGGGAAACCAGCAGTGATGGGAATGAAACCGGGACTCAAATCAACGGTGTGGGTTAGAAAGAAGAAAAACATTCAACAAGAACAGAATGAAGAAACAAGAATTCGAAAAATGAGAGGCTTAGGATCTTCTGGGACAACTTTAAATGTTCCAACATCCGAATCCCAGGGTTCTCAGAAGGAAAAGAAGAAGAGCAAGAAATTGAAAACTTGTTTGAACAAATAATAAAGGAAAACTTCCCCAATCTGGCAAAGGAAATAGACTCCCAGGAAGCCCAGGAGAGAGTCCCAAAGAAGTTGGATCCAAGGAGGAACACACCAAGGCACATTATAATTACATTAGCCAAGATTAAAGATAAGGAGAGAATCTTAAAAGCAGCAAGAGAAAAGAAGAGTTACCTACAAAGGAGTATCCATAAGACTGTCAGCTGATTTCTCACAAGAAACTTAGCAGGCAAGAAGGGGCTGGAAAGAAGTATTCCAAGTCATGAAAGGCAAGGACCTACATTTAAGATTGCTCTATCCAGTAAAGCTATCATTTTGAATGGAAGGGCAGATAAAGTGTTTCCCAGATAAGGTCAAGTTAAAGGAGTTCATCATCACTAAGCCCTTATTATATAAAATATTAAAGGGAGTGATCTGAGAAAATAAAGAATATGAACAGTAAAATGACAACAAACTCAGTTATTAACAACCGAACCTAAAACAAAAACAAGAACAAAAACTAAGCAAACAACTAGAACAGGAACAGAGCCACAGAAATGGAGATCACATGGAGGGTTAGCAACAGGGGAGTGGGAGGGGGAGACAGGGGGAAAAGGTACAGAGAACAAGTAGCATAGACGGTAGGTAGAAAATAAGGGGAGGTTAAGAATAGTATGGGAAATACAGAAGCCAAAGAACTTGTATGTAAGACCCATAGACATGAACTAAAGGGGGGGAATGCAGGTGGGAGGGGGTGTGCAGGGCAGAGGGAAATGAAGGGGGAGAAATGGGACAACTGTAATAGCATAATCAATAAAATACATTAAAATAAAAATAAAAAATAAAAACCCCACAAACCATAGCGTCGATCCCCACCTTGCAGCACTAAAAGAAAGGAAAACGCCCAGCGTGGGCCCGAGCCCCGTGGGCCCGAGCCGCCCTCGCGGTGCGAAGGACTGCAGCACTTCCGGGACAGGACAGGAGGAACCTGGCCTGGGGACTCGGGGTCGGTGCACCACCCCACGTGCGACACAAAACCACACCCCGTGCAAGAGTGAAGCCGCCCACCCGCCATCCTTTCCGCTAGGGGCGGCCGAGCGCCCGCCTTCCGTCCTTAGGAACCTTTAACTGACGAACTGCAGGCGCCCAGCAGGCCCGGCCAGGCCGAGATGCAGGACACCGGCAGAAGCTGCCTGGCGGCGCCTGCGGGAACACTGGACAGATCGCAGGGCAGGCTCATCAGATGCGGCAAGGCATTTACCGCTCTGAGCATTTTAATAAGCACAAGGGGCCACAAAAGTCAAAGATAAAACAAGCTCCTCCTGCGTCAGCTCAGGGACCCCGTCCCCTGGAAGTCTCTGCTTCTTCCAGCCCGTGTGAGTGTCTGCAGTCTCGACGCGCACACGCCCAGAGCAATACACCACATACACACGTGGTTCCCGCAAAGCCCACACGCCACCTGGAGGGGGAACTCATGGACACGGCTCACAGAGAGGGAGCCCCAGGCTGCATGGTTGGGGACACACGGCAAAACCGGGGTGCGGCGGGGGCTGCCCTGGGCGGGGAAGGGGGCAGGGTGATTCCCACTTCCTCCGCAGGCCTCAGAGCTTTGAGTCGGTCAGAGCGACTGGGAGGAGATGCTCTTTCTTCTCCTGGGTGGGGGCGCACCCGGAGGTCTGTTATTGTGCTTTTCACACATTTTATAAGTAAAAATAAGAACAAACGGGGGTAGAGGTAGAGGCGCCCTCTGACGCTGGGCCTGTAAACGAGAACGCTCTTCCAAATCGGGCTTCTTCAAGACCCTTGACTGATGTCGTTTTCTGAGGCTCAGGCTTGGAGACGAGCACCCCCCACCTCCGAGCAAACTGGATCACAAATGCAGCTGGGGGGGGGGACGCTGTGAGGACGCAGTACCCCACTGCCGGGCACAGGCGGCTCTAGCTCGGCTGGGTCCCGGTGACCCTGACCGAGCGGCCTGCGCAGGGCACTTCACCAGTGCGGAGGTCTCTGCCACGGAGGCCGCTGCTCATCAGAAAGCCCAGGTGACGTGGCGACTTCTCCGCACTGACATTCACGGCACCCTTTCAGCAGCCCGGTGTGGCCAAGTGGTTTAATTAGCCTGAGAGGGTGTGATTGTATGCTCTCTGGTAGGAAGCCCACACACACTCTGAGTGGCCCTCTGGATGAAGGACTGGGCCTGCTCCAGGCCTGCGAGGCTGGGCCCTACCTGGGCGTCCTGCAGGGGGTGTGGGCCTGCCTGCTCTCCAGCCTCCTAGCCAGCAGCTCCCACCCAGGACCCCTGTCCCCTCCCCCACGGACAGAGCTGGGCAGCAAGGCTGGTATCGCCTACTGGGGGGTTGGGGGTGCCCTGACGGCCTTGGCGGGGCCGTCATTCATGGCACTGACATTCACGGCACCCTTTCAGCAGCGCGGTGCGGCCAAATGGTTTAATTAGCCTGAGAG